ATAACTTAATATATAAAATAGTTAGGTTATAAATAACCTTTACTAATAACTATTCTTTTTATAAATATATAAGCTTATATCTTAAGAAGTATTTTTAATATTAAGTTAAAGACTTATAATAAGAGTAACTAGGCCTTTTTATCCCTTAGTCAATATATTTAAGTCCTTTTTATATATTAAATATAATTATTAAATAGGCTAAAAAGCTTATCTTAGGTAATTATATTAGGCAGTTAATATACTGCCTAAACTAATTTAATAAGAGTATTATTTTAAGTTAATAGAAACCGCTACTAATGCTTATATCACGTGCCTTATACGTTATGCTGCTTCATCAAGACAATATCCGCGCGCATATCTTCATACGGCACTGCTCGACCATAGAGATGGTGATGCTCGTGTCTGTTCACACCGCTAAGGACCAGGGGTCTCCCATTGACCAGGAAATTGGGCCCCTTCATTTCGATCCGACGAAAGCCAATACGATGTGAGATGTAGGAGTTACCCATGCTCAGGAGTAAGCTGTAAAGAACAGGTTTCTCAGCTGACCAAAGCTCCAAGTCGTGATCTCGGACTACTATAGTGCCAGTTTCGACGGATTTGAACTGCTTCGCGTAGAGGAGTTGTGCGTTTGGGTCCCTTAGCTCGAGATTGATATCCTCAATATCGACCCCTTGGAGGCAGACATTGACATGTACTGTTGCATTTGCTAGATTTCCGTCAACTTCAGTTCGAACGGTAAAGCCTGTTATTGAAACTGGTGGGAAGGCAAGCAAGTAGACATCTCTGAAAATTCCTGGCAGAAGCCATTGATCCTGTCGTTCAAGGTAGGAGCCGTCACAGAGCTCGTAGACGCGAACACCAATAGTATTGATGTTCCCTGTGTCCTTCAAAAATGAGGTGATGTCGAATTCGCTGGCATTCCTACTACCTTGATTATAGCCAACTTCAACTTCATTTATCCACACATGAAAGGCGCTGTCAACACCCTCAAAACGCAATCGAATCTGCTGATCCTGCCAGTCTTGGGGCGTAGTGAATTGCCGCCAATATGTTCCTGTCTCGTTCAGAAGCGGAACGTCTGGCGGATTAACAGGGAAAGGATAGTTGACATTGCTGTATAAAGGACGCCCATAGCCTTGAAGTTGCCACATACCAGGGACCTTGATATTGGCCCAGGTAAGGGGATCGAGGGCGTTCCATGCAGGAACTTGGAGAGGGGAAATATCATGCCGGAACCTCCAGGTGCCGTTCAGTAGTTTTATCCGTGCTTTTTGGCGATCGAAGGAGAGTGCGTCTTCCTTACTAGCGTACGGAAAGAAGTGAGCGCGTGTGGGCAGCGTGTTTCGATGGAGGACATTAAGATTACTCCAGTCCGGCTGCGATTTGGGGAATGACATAGTGATCTGAGCTCGATTTTGTAGATGTGATTGGCATGAAATTTAAGTTACTGATTACAATCCTGATGAACAGAAGACTGGTCATTTTATACTCAAAAGTCAGCAGCATCAGTCCTGTTGTCCGGCTTCCTTTCAGTGTCTCCAAGTTTCGATGAACCTAAGAAGCATTCTTAACCTATCGGTTAATAACATTCATATCTCTCTGTCGGACCATAAACCCCGGCGGGTAATTTTGTCATTCTGGCGACCGTACCCGCTGCGTCATGATATATCGTTTGATTCGGATACGGAGTCGGGGGAGATGTCGGCGGCAGCTCCGAGACCGTCACGCTAAGCTGCAGAGAGAAAACTACCTTATATGGTAAGGTGCTAAAGATAACGGGGAAAGCGGAGAACCAGTCTGCTGAAGAGTGAAGCAAGCCTCCTGACGAAATAATCCGCTGTTGAGCTGGATCTTTGGCGATATTCGGGTCTCATTATTAATAAACCCGCCCGTAATTTACCATGAGATCAAGATTATTCATCGTTCTCTCGGGACTTTCTTAAGTAGTTCGTTGTATCTAAGCATTCATTATCATATCCTACACCCCTACCGTAAACATAAGACTTGTCGCTCAGCATGATAAACTTTGAGGCAATATTCACAAGGCATTACAAGGTCGTAGCATCATGCAGTAGCGTTACTCATACTACACCTTAAAGATATACTGCCGCCCAGCTTCACCTTTGACTCGCTGTTCGAACTGGTCTGGACCTCGGATGTATACATCGTCCGCACCTCCCATGGTACAAAAGACCTCTACCTCTCCTACGAGATGCCCTTTGCAGCCCCATTGAAACGATATGAGCCACCCTTGCTTCACTCTCACTTTCTGCACGTGGCCATCTTCCCACTCATCAGGACACGCCGGCAGTAAAGATACACATACAACATTTAGTCCATCAATCTCAGTCTCGACAGATTGCACTAAGCACTCGATGATCCCCGCACATGCTCCAAAGTTTCCATCGATTTGAAATGGAGGATGCGAATCGAGAAGGTTAGGCAAAGTAGAGTTAGACAGTAGTAGGTCCATGTTATCTCCACAGGCTTTGGCATCCCGCAATCGGGCAAAGAAGTTGAGTAGCCACGCTCGGCTCCATCCAGTATGGCCGCCACCGTTGGCAAGACGACGTTCTAGCACCTTCTTGGCTGCTACAGCGAGATCTGGGGTGTGTATGGGGTGGATGAATCCGCCTGGATATAGGCCATACAGATGAGATACATGTCGATGACCCGGTTCGTCTTCAACATAATCATTGATACCCCACTCTTGGATAAGACCTTTTTCGTTGATGGTCAATGGCGGAAGTCGAGCCAAAGCATCTTTGACTGGTTGTTCGAGAGGGTGATCTATCTTGGACAATCGTTCCAAACTCCAGTTGAACTGTTCCAGCGCTTGTCTGATAAGCGTCATATCCATCGTAGAACCTTCACAGAATATTCCCTTTGTACCCGCTTCAGAGATGAATGTATTCTCCGGAGAAAGTGAGGGGTTAGTGACGAGAAATGAACCGCATTTGGAAGAAATCATGAAATCAATAACAAATTGAACGGCACCTTCATGAATCTTGAAAAGTCGGTCATGAATATCCTCGTCATAATCATATCTTAGGCCATCCATCAATGTGATGGACAACCAAAGACCCCCCAGAGGCCATAGAGTAGCAGGCATCCAGCGATCTTGAGGACTTGTATCTGCCCATATGTCTGTATTGTGATGCGCACACCACCCTCGACAATTATACATATCTCTCGATGTATGTGAACCTCGTATCGACAGTCTTTCTACCAAGTCCACCAGAGGAAGTGTGCACTCATGACTGAGGCTGCAGGGTCCAGCAGGCCAGTAGTTCATCTGCGTATTGATATTGATGGTGAATTTAGAGCCCCACGGTGGTGCAAAGGAAGGGTTCCAAATACCCTGGAGTGTCGCCGGCAATGGCTTGTATCCATCTCGACTTGAGGATATAAGCAAGTACCGGCCGTAATTATGATACAAGGCAACAAGTCCAGGATCTCAATTATTGAGAAGACGCTCATTGTTGGGTAAATGACAAGCATCGGGGTGCATCTTCAAGCTCATCCTGTTGAAAAGCTTATGATAATCTGTCCTGTGCCTCTACACCACATCTTGCCATGTCCTGGAAAGAGCCTGATCAACTTGGTCCGATGCTACTTTCTCAGGCCGCTCGTGTCGGAATGTAGTTTGACCAGCTATTGCAATCCTGCATGATGACGAATTGACGACCAAACAGTTGCCAATGGCTTCAACAGATCCATCATCGTCACACTCAACCCCAAGAACGGAGCACAGGCGATTGCTTTTGAATCCGCCTGGTGTAGTATGAACAACTATCCGAGAGCCAAAAGACCTGATAGTGTCGACGTAGGTATTTGTCTCCGTTTCGTTGTCGCTCAATCGATCTAAACGAGCAACGAATCGCCTCCGCTTCGACCCCTGGAATCGTAGGATAATTGCATCATCAGGATACGACGCAATGACATGACGCTTAAATAAGCCTCCATCTGCTGAAAACTCAACAGAAACTTCCGAGTCGTCTAGATGCAAAGCCCGCTTGTAGCCCGTGATATTCTTGTGGTTGAACTCTAACGTGGCAGTGCCGAGGGGTTCGTGACGTCGCATACTAGAAGGTGTAGCGAATCCGTAGTCCGACCGAGTCGAGATCACAAACCTTCGTAAGGATACAGCTTAATTACCCGTCGGTATGTTCAATCCATGCTAGAGAGACTAACCCTCGCCAGGCTTGAATCTCCCATCATTTGTCTGGTTGCCCACATTTCATGATGTTAGAGAATCTGGGGTAAGGGTGTGGAGTGATGTGACAGTCCCAGATTGGTGAATATGTATCAGTACCTTTAAACCGTGCCTTTCATCTTGATTCTATTTTAATCAATTAGTCTACATTTGCGCTTCTAACCCCTTCAAACTATCAACATCAAATCGCTCCTTTGAGCCAAACACCGTTCATCATGGCCGTTGGCAAAGAACCCCAGGCTCTAGATGCAACGAACAGCCATCTTGAACTGAAATCGGAGGAGTTTCAGATCGAGAATGCCCAATCCAAGCTCACCACCATTGACCTTGAGCAGATGGCCAAAAATGCCATTACTTGGAAGTCCAAAGCCGCTTTTCGTTTGGCTATTGTCATTTTAATCCAGGGCTTGAGTACTATTCAACACTCTTTGTGTATGTTTCTCTCAATAACTGACTAACAATTCATAGGCTGTGCTGCTTTTGCTATTGACGGGAACGTCATTGGCAGCATCAATGCCATCCCCTCGTTTCGCGAACACTTTGACGTTGGTGTAAGCGGCGGCGGCCTTGGCATCATACTCGCTGCCATGTCTATTGGCAATGCTGTGGCAAGTCCTTTCCAATGGCTAGCAGACTGGATCGGCCGACGTGGCGTGACCTTCCTTGGTAGCTCGATTTTAGTCGTTGCTTGCGTTCTGCAGGCTGTTGCGCCCAACAGAGCCTGTCTTATTGTAGGTCGTCTATTCGCCGGTATGGGAGCATCCCTCTCAGCGACTTGTGGTCCGATGTACATGAGTGAAGTGGCCCCAGCTTGCTATCGTGGGTTAGCTGTTGGTCTTTACTGTGCATGCTACAGCATTGGCTCTATCGCCATTGCATGTATCGTCTTGGGGGGCTCTTATATGGAAAATAACTGGAGCTGGCGGTTACCACTGATCATTCAGATTGTGCCGCCTCTTATTATCGCGCTTTTGGTCTACCCTTGTACCCCTGAGTCACCTCGGTATCTCGTTGCTAAGAACAAGATCGATGAGGCTCGTCAGGTCATTTCCCGTTATCAGACTGTCTCCGGAAGTGTCGATGACCCGGTTGTCATAGCCGAGATCCAACAGATACAGGATTCCATGGAGCTTATGACGAGTAAGCCCTGGGATTTTAGAGTTCTTTGGACGACCAAAGCCTCCCGTCGCCGCCTTTGGATTATCTTCCTATACAGTTTCTTTCAGCAATGTAACGGCAGTGGTATGCTCGGCTACTATTTTGCTGGCATCTTGACACTTGTCGGAATCACCAACTCACAAAAGCAGCTCAGTATCAACGTTGGTCTCACTGTCGCATCTTATTTGGCTACTCTGGCTGGTTCGAGCTTCATTGATAGAGTTACGAGGCGATTCTTACTCATCTTTTCGATGTGTATCTTTGTTTTTTTCCCGAGTCTCATTTCTGTCACGGGTGGTTTATATGCAAACGGTATTAGTGTGCATTCGACCGGTATTGCGACAGTGGCGTTCATCTTTTTATTCAACATCTGCAATGGACTTTTTGGTTAGAACTCCTTCTTCTCTTATACCCGTCGTCTTGCTGGGCATTTGCTGACCGAAACGCTACAGTTTTTGTTCTTCATAACATCTATCCCAACGAGGTTTTGCACTACTCCCAGCGAGCAAAGGGCATGGGAATGTACTCATTCTTCCTGAATTGTTTCGGCTTTATAATGACATATGGCGTCTCCTACGCACTTCAGGCCTGGCAGTGGAAGGTAGGCCAATCCCCCTTGATATTCGTTCAGTTGTAATCCTGAGACTAACTTTCCGTGTCAGATTTACTTCCTTTTCATTGGAATCGATCTTGTGTGCATCTACCTTACTTGGCAATTCTTTCCTGAGTTCAGTCATCTTTCTTTGGAGGAGATCGATACTGTCTTTGAAACGCCTGGCGTAAACCCTGTCAAGATGTCGAAGAAGTTACAGATTGCAAAGAAGGAAAAGCGCAAAGAGGCTAACGAGAACACTTCAGCCTAGCAATGGTGGCTTCATCTGGGTCTTGTGTACACATAAGGAGAGCTAGTTCTACGCTTGTCCTACAGCTTCGATACTGAGGTGGAGGAATTGAGAAATTGACGTCCAACGTTGTATATTGTCAATTGCCAGGGATTCAAAGCTCATCATTAAGCTATGGGCCTACCCGAAGATCAATCGGATCTCACCGTCTGAAGACCAGACTGGGGGAGAAGCTTGATCAACGGAGCATGTGATGAAGCTCTCATGGGCGAATGAGGCTTTTAGGAATCATTTTACTACTCTTGCAGACGGTATTAAAGCTGGTGCAGGATCAGCGTGAACCGTGTGCTTGGCTTCTTCTGGAACCTGGTCACTCACAAAGGAAGCACTCGGGGCACTTTCAACATTGTTTTATCTATGGCGCACGAGTTTCCTGACCTCACTGATATACCCTACGCAGAAATCATCAGAAGGCGCTTGTTGTATGAATTTGCATCAGCGCACAAGGTGATGGAATTGGTGAAGAGTACATGGTCTGGAAGTGACGGGGTATGTGGTGCAGCAATAGCGTTGTGGTTAATGCGTTTTCCCTTGACCAGATGGGGATCGATTAATAGTCTGGACTATTTATGGGTAGGATGATGCATGGAGTGTATGGACGATAACTAAAGACCTTGACGATAGATCGATCAGTTTACTTGCGATGCACTCTTGCTCCGTGTATGTCTTGGCCATAAATGAGCGAGCTTTGACTCGTAAAGTTTACCCTAGCCTTCAACACTGACAGGGCCTACAATGTATCTATATAGCCTCCAATGTCACCTCTTTCTAGCACATACGACCAAAGGTAGTGGAAAATACGGGATGCTCTCCCATAGTCCTAACCGGCGGATTAGTAGTTGGGTCGGTGACGACCAGCGAATCCCCGCTGTTGTATGTTTTTTGCCCGTCTTGATAAGTGGAGGAAGCGCTATTCTTTTTGGTGGACCTGAGTGGGACAGGGAGGGTTGTGATGTGGAGATGAGGTCGCAGTTAAATGGATACTCAAGCTTGGGCACTACGGGTGGAATATAGTAGGGCATGTTAAAAAACAGATTAAGAACATGATGTCGCTGCAAGATTATTATGGATATGAGTTAATTGGTGAAGTTCCGGGATGTATGTAGACGTGGTTACGAGTACCGCAGCAAGACCAAAGCCGTGAGTGCTATGGGTCCTGTTGTTTAACGACTGCGACGTTCCGAGGACAATCGATGCGAATAAAGTGTATCCGAGACTTTGGACCATGAACAGGCAGCCTTTCGTTCGAATTCTATACAGGTGTGCCGGTGCTATTATTGGACCTCGTGGAATCGCTATTGGAGTGGGCAGATCGCAAGTGCATTCGGCCAAAAGGGACATGGAGCTGGCGGCGACAAAGAAGGCGCTCGTGGTCAGGAGCAGACGGATCAATTGGGGAGGATATTCCCTCCAAGAATCGTACGTTGTCTTGGCCGACAATGTTGTTTCGGGTGTAAGCGCGATGGCTTATGCCGACCGCACCGAGCTTCCGCCTACTGTCGTCTCCCGACAGCGTCATAGAACCTCAATAGGGCGCGAGAGAGAGGCTACCGCGCCCATGTAGCAAGCCCCGTAGAGGTATATGCACATGCTAGCAGGAACCAGTCGTCGACGTTCTCGGTCAGAGCAAACGATATGGGTCGACGACGCGGGTGGGACGTGGGAGGGTTCATCAGGCATCGCTCGATCGCTCAGGCCTCGTCGTGTATAATGTGGAAAGGCATTTCGAGCGGTCGCGCGCAGGTGGCTGATTCGATGCCATCAAGCCTTATCACGGGAGGTGGTGTTGTCGCATCGCGATTCACGTCTTCAGAGACTGTTGTTGACGAACTGCCAATGGCCGATATGAGTGCTTCAGGTAAGTTGAATCAGAGGGCGAGTCACGCTGAGGAGATCCCGGATTAATCTTACGCCGCGCCGACTGACTGAGGAAGCACCTCAGGGATCTTTGCTGCCATTGCTACCCTGCAGCAATTTCCAAATTCAGGCAAATCCATCCAAACAAGCCTTAGTATTGTTTAAAACTCCAAAATATGTTGAGAAGTACTTATCTGATCTTCCTTGAAATATAATGTAAAAAAACTATTATATATAAATTGGGTAGAGATGCTTTGCTGCAATGTCAACCTTTTCGTATTGTTTGGCTTCTGAAAGACATGCTTGTCGAAGATCTTCAGGGCTGAGGCATCAATCCCTGCCCCGCGTTTTGATTACGTGTCTTGATTGGCTAGGAGCAAAAGCCCCGCTGCAGGCTCTCACGTCAGACGCGGCTAAAACGAACGACGTCATCGTCGATCGCCAAGGTTTGCATCACGATCTCAAATTCGCCTGCAGAATCGTCACTCATTTTGCGCCTCCATCACCAACCGCTCTCCTCCCATTTTACCTCATCTCACCACACCAACGACAAATCAACCGCACAAATAATTCGATGGATTTTTCCTGCCGCGTCCAAATTAACAACGAATCCTCAGAGGATCTCCTCCTCGAAGACTCCGGCCTCGAGAGCGGAAACTGGCCATTACGCCAGCCCCTCAATGTGATCGAAGCTGGTACTCAACAGACCATCTACCTCGCGCAACCGAGCTGGGGAGGTTCAAAAGCATGGGTCACGTATGAAGCGAGATACGGCCAGGGCTGGAGGAATTTCACGCTCGAGTTTGAGTGTCCTGCTATGCCGCTCTCCAAGAACCATGTCAAGGTCAAGGATTGCTCCAGGGTCTTTGAGATTGATGTTACGGATGTTCAGGAGCGGGGGAGTCCTTTGACTGGTATGTTTTGAGCCTTTGTTATTGAGAGGCCGCTGACAGATTAGCGAATGTAACGATTCGCATGGATTCGAAAAAGTCTATAACCACCAAGAACGATGATTTCCGTGCAAACTACGACATTGGTGTCGGTGTCTCGTTCCCGACAAAAATGGACATTAAATTCCCCGTCCACGAAAGCATCGTCGTAGCAGCCTTTATCGAATCCGACATGACATTCCCCCGCGGAACAGTCTACAACAACATCAACGACAAACAATGGGAATTCTTCCGCGGCGTAGTCTGGAACGACGATCCCTCCTGTCTACTCTTCGAAGACGTCACCGAAGATAATCGCATGTTTGGCTTAGGTGTCGAGTGGTTAAACGCCTTCAAGTTCGGCGATGAGAAATGCATGATCAAGCGATCGCATATGGGAGATCTCCAGTTCTTCCACGGTATGGGCTCAGTGATGGGTGAGAAACCGCAGAAGACGCGCAAGAACATTCTTACGTGGATGGAGGTCATGTACAAGCTTGCATGCGGCGATCAAGGCATTTCCGAAGACGACACTCTCGATAACGTTCTACCCGGCTTCTTTACCAAAGACACCATCCCCTCGAAATCTGACACCCTCCGCGATCTCATCCTCGCCACAACACCGAAATACAAAGACGCCAACATCCGCAAACGCGCTTTCGGTATTTGTCTCCATATGATATCCGACTCGTACGCCCTAGGCCACACGCAGCGCCGCCTGCGCAACCCGTCCGATCTGATTGAGCGCGACACCGCGGGATATATCCGCTTCAAGCCTGACACCTACGGTGACTGGGGTTCTATTCTCTGCTTCCACACATACAACGACCAAGACGGTGATCGTCATGCTCACTACGATGATAAAGACGGTGAACAGGATCCTGCGCCGAGGGATGTCACGACGTTTAATGAGATGATTGGCGCGAGGAATGCTATTATGGGCTGCACAGAGATGATCAATTTGTTTATCAAGAAGACGCCTTGGCAGGAGGGTGTGAAGAAGTTTTTGGAGGATGAGATTTTTGTGCTGGACAGGGATGCTAAGCCTTCTGATCATTTCACTGATGAGAGTGTTGTTTCGTATGTCTATGCGCAGAGGGACGAGGAGATTGAGTATCGGGCGGGTTTGGAGAAGAAGCTTGCTTCTTTAGAGGAGGGTGGTTTGACTACGAAGAAGAAGTGCGATGGACGATCAAGGGTTGTTTCGGCGCTTGCGATGCTTTGTCTTTTCATCAGCGCAATTTTCTTTACGTTCTTTACGATGAGGATTCACGGATTCATGTATTAGGCAAATGATGATTCGAGAGTAAGGCACAGGGCAGATTGGAATATTGGGTTTCGCACAGCGTTGTATTGATCATTATACCACTCCAAAATTGATAATTTGTAATACTGATCTATTGTCTGATCCATTCAACGTATTTATCTTCGGCCCCTTGTCTAACATCAAGACGATGCTGGTCGAAGGCAGTGTGATCGTCACTTCGCGCGCCCAGCATGCAACCACCTTATATGACGTCCTGTAAACGACAGTAAGTAATCTTGCTTACAGATTTGCTTATCAGGGGACTTACCACCGGAGATCAATAAACGCTCATATCCAATCTCAGGATCCTCTTGGGCCATGTCCTATTACGATCGCCAAACGAGAGGTGTAGACGATCTTCCATAGGGATATGGCTTGCCCCTCCGATCTGTCCATTCTCTGAGAGACTTCGGTGGCTGCACGAGAGTGTACCGTCCTCGTTGTAGGGAGGCGTTCGATGGCGTCGCATTGGTGTCAGTGTGGACTGGTCGTGCTGGGATGTGCAACCCGGCGGTTGAGCCACGGTCCGAGTCGCGAGGGATCATTACGTGCGAGAAATATTAAGGGAGCTTTGGCGAAAGTAATACAAGTCTGAGGGGATGAGTTCTGGCGCACGTTGAAGGGAACTTTGATTAGGCCGGGAAAGTGAGAAACCATCCTTTTATATCACAAGAACGCGCGAACTTTATGTCCCTTTGAGCCGCCTTAGTGAGAAGGTTCCTTTTGTAGGTCAGCGAAATCTTTGTTCAAGGGATTCTGCCAGAGGTGAATAATACATCTTGCATGTTTATTTCGTGAAGTTTCCACCGCTGCAACTCGCTCTTACTGGTCTACGCCTTAAAGTCAAAAGCTGAACTCAGAGTTGATCCAATGAGACGCTTCGCTAAAAAGCATATTGAGGCTATATGACTGGTCTTTCCCAGTAAATGCTTACTGATTTATGTGCGTGTAAAAGACCCTTTATTATCAACAGAGAAATAGAGGTGCAGTATAATAGCCTCTAATCATATCTCCTTTTGTTAACGGTGACAGGAATGGACCCAACGAGACCCAAGGGAAAAAGGAACATCCTTCTTTAAAGGGAACTGCAGCGAAAAAAAAGCGAAAAGAGATAAAAAAGATTGCAGAATTGTGGAAAAGAAAGGGCTCCACCGGGGATTGAACCCGGGACCTCTCGCAAGCAATGCTTTTGGGTTTTGCCCAAAGCGAGAATCATACCTCTAGACCATGAAGCCGATTTTTCAGATTGTTAATAAGCAGCTCTCAAACTACAAGCCATATACCCGATTCATTCCACTCAACATTGTGCATTTCTCAACTCCACGCCCGACACAGCCCTGAGACCGAATCTTGCTACTCGTTAAGTCTCGTTCCCGTTAAAACACAATACCCGCGACTTCCCGAGGTCTGGATCAAGCGGCACGCCAAGATCTATATCTCGCCATCAGGGTCAACACCATGTCATATGCATCCTCTATCGCGAGTCATCTATCACAAAAGCTGCAATTGCATGCGTCAAAGATCACTCGGCAGTTACCATTCGGACCACTCTTTTAGTCACCGATCACATCTCCCACAAACAATCCTCATCACCTGATGACTTGCTCAAACCTGAAAGCAGCATTTATATCCCTCCTATTCAGAATCACCTTCCCGATTAACCTTCGCTTAAGCACAAAGTTATAGATCCAGCCATTATAGCGCAGATCAGGCGTCACGAATAGCCCAATGCGGTGCAGGTCGTATCCAACGTTGATATCTCTTGCATATACTTTCGGGCAGCGCGCCTCCCGCCAAGATGAGACAAACTCTATTGAGTCTTTGTTCTTGGCGTTGATCTTTAACTCGAATCGTTTGAAGCACCGTTATCAGTCATGAAATGCCGTTTACCGATTGGTCCACCATCTTCAACATCCTTGCTCTGCGGGACAACAGCAGGAAACCCCAGTTTATCACCGCGGCAATTGCGACGAACTCCATGCCTTTTCATAGCTAAGACTTGTCTGTTTCAAGAAGAGCAGGTGCAGAATCTCAATCTGATTGTGGATATAATGACAAAAGCCACGTTGCCGAGACAGGGATCTTGATTGGGGTCATGGTTGATAAGAACTGCACCGCCGTTATTCCGCAAGGTCGCGAATGTAACGTTGAGAAAACTCGAGTCAGTCGCACGTTGGAATTGCCCAATGGAGCTGTGCTAGGGGTAGTCAAGATGAAACCCGGCAATTCGAGGACAAGACGGTAATACCGGCACCACCTGATTGTTGACGGTGATATCCTTCAACCTTGCCTCAACCTTACCATGAATAACCTCAACCTTGACAAAAAGAGGCGAAATACCCAGAGTAAAAACGGCGACGTCGTCATCGCATTTCCTAAAACTATGCATAATCCGAAACTTAAATCGATACCAAGACTCTCGTTCGCAACACACGAGGTTCACCCTTGAAAAAGACCCGCCCTCGTTTCGGACGAGTTGACCCCCTGATAATGGTAGCCGAGCCCGCTGTATAATATGGAGCAATGCAACAAATATGTCCCACTGCTAATCACGAGGTTCACCTTGCTTTTTTGTATCATGATTTGCACTACCGTAGCTGTTAAAAAGCCCCATGTCTCCCCCGTCTGGGGAGTTTAAGTGGCCGTGCTTATTAGCTTTTGTTTTTGTGTGCAATGGAGGTTGACCCTTTGGTAGTTGCCATCTTTGGCCCACCGCCTGAAGGGATAGATCTCTCGGCTAATAGTGAGGCCAAGAATGCTGCTGTTGTTCTTACCTTGTTGCTCATCTCTGCTTTGTTCTTGGCTGGTCGCATTGTGATTCGCACGCAGCAGGTTTATGGGCTGAGTCTTGATGACTATGCTATTATTATATCGTGGGTCTTTGTGGCTGCTACTGCAGCTATGGTGGTAGTTGGTAAGTTCTATCCGTTCATGTGATTGGTAATCACTAATATTCTTAGTTGGCCAAGCTGGCGCTGGTAAGCATGTCTGGGCACTTACGATAGATCAGATGGTTGAGGTTTCCAAGGTTTGTCAACACTATGTATTGAACCTCTCATACTAATATTATTAGCTCTCATACATCTACACTCACTTCTTCGCAATATCCGTCTTTACAACAAAAGTATCGATCCTTCTGTTCTACCGACGAATATTCAGCCGAGGCGGCCTCTCATTCAAGATCGCCTTTTGGTTCGGTACCTTTCTGGTGGCATCATATCCCGTGATATTCCTGTTCACCATGATCTTGGGCTGTACGCCTGTGAGCCATTACTGGACACAGTTTAAAGGCACTGAGGGAACATGCATTGATGTTCCACGGTTCTTCGTCATTCTGGCCATTATCAATCTGTTCACCAACGTCATCGTGCTGTTGATACCGGTGCCAGAGGTACTCAAGCTTCAGATGAGTAGAGAGAAGAAGGGAGCTGTGTTTGGTATCTTGGCGCTTGGAGGCTTGTAAGACACCACGACTGTTTCCCCAGAATAATACTAACACTATACAGAGTCTGCATCGCCAGTGCAGTACGAGTATACTATCTCGACGTCTTCGCCAAAGCTGCCGACAACACATGGGCTATGGGCACCGTAGCAATATGGTCCTCCGTCGAGCCATCAATGGGCATTGTATCAGCCTGTCTACCCAGCTTCAAGTCGTTCTTACGATATCTTCGCCTCAAAGGCGGTAGTAAAAGCAGATCGAGTTTCCCAACAATCTCCAATGGGGGAAAAGGGAATAGACTACGGTTCGATGATGAGATTGCGCTGAGAAGTCAGATAGTCGGAGGCGAGGGAAGTATGCATAGTGGACAGGGAAGTGAGGCTGGACGACAGATTTATGTCAAGACGGATGTTGAGCAGGTCATTACTGAGATACCCGAGGCAATGAGGCGAAGCAATGTTTGAAGTGATACCAATTGAGTTTTTAGTTTGCGCTGCATACATAGAAGCGACCTGAGATTTATGTCTTTAGCATGTGAATATGAAGATTACAAGATTCAGTTCATTGTCCACAGAAGACTGCTATGGGTTCCTCGTACCAACTAGAACTTGGAAACACTCGCACGCCCAACATCGATCCCAAATCTTCCACGAGTCCTTTGCCCCTCCCGTGTCTCGCTCTGAGGATCTGTATCTCCTGATGTTCTCGCATCATCACTCCGCTCTTCTGACTCCACCGAAGCCTCTCCTTTCTGCCACCACCCGAGACTAAACACCCAGCCATCAAAAGCCTTCTTCAGCTGTCCATCAGCCATGTACTCAGCTCCTTGCGGTATAATGCCCGAATCTCGATCGCACAGCTGAGATCCAGCCAGAAATGCCATCGTGCTGGCTATGCTGCAAGGATCGCGGGGAAGTGTACCGCGAATCTTGACAAGAAGATAGCTTTCGAGGCTCAGAACAGCTATGACAGCTAGTAGGACTTGGAGAATGGTTTTGGAAGTTGGGTTTATGGCAAAGCGGGTGATTAATTGGCGCATCGTTCCGTTTATTTCCGTGTTAGGTGGCACTGCCTCCCCAGCTGGAGATGGAGACGCTAAAGCACTGACAAGCTCGTCATGGGGGGTCTTTTCGTCTGCTCGGAAGTTGAGATCAATGAGATATCTCATGTACTCGCTGTAGCCCTTTTGCACAGCATCAATCAGATTGCTGACATTCCTAGGGCCGAGGAGTTCTTCTTTCTTTGCCGCGTTCGGACCGTATATCAAGTGGTTGAAAAATGAATCACAGTCCTGCTTTTGCTCGGTAATGTTGTGAGTCGGATAGAGTTTCAGATGGTCATCGAGAAAATGCTTAAGCTTGTAGTTAAGCGCCGATGACCCTGAGGTGCTGTTTACCCATTCCCGAGCTTGCTTTCGAGCTAGCAGTGGAGGATGCTTCTCATCGATTACCCCAAGAGCTGGGTCGCCCTTGAACGTGATGTTCGTTGGAATTTGCTCGATGCCCTGAGTGCAAGTCAAGGCTGTCATGCTCCATGCCGAGGTATCATTGCCTCCCATATTTCCAAAGAATATGCCGACGGAGGGACAGTCAGCACCGGGGTCACTAACGGTTAGGTTGAGATCCAAGTAACTACCAACCCACCTATCATGATAGGATTTTCCTTCTCGATCCGCAATCTTCACACTCGTATTGAATGACACATAAGACTTCCCGTTGACATCATGGCCTTTGCAACCGACCGGAGCGGTGAAGTTAGCCCATATGGTTTTCTCACGTGAGTGCCCGATACGACCCCCGTCCAATGCGTAGTAAATAGCCATGACCCACGGATCCATAACTAGATTCTCTGCCGGGACCACGGTACAGTTGAGGAAGGGCCGCAACGCCCCGACGCTATAAGTGTAGCTGGAGGATTGAGCCATCGTGTCAGGCATAGAAGAGTCAGGAAATGCAATGCTTATACTCGGCAGTACCACGTCTTGCCAAATTGCAACTGAGGAATTTGCCCCTCCATGCCGAATGAGGTTCAGTGTCTTTGCAGCACCAGAGTCATCCTGGCTGAAGGCAGACCATGATGTACGCCAATTCCCTGCGATTGCTGTCATCGATCTCTCGACATTTACAGGTCCCGTGAGTGTCCAGAGACCCGATGAGGCGATTGTGAGGAGGCTGCCCAAGAGTGATGAAACGTTGGAAGATGCTGGTCCTGGCTGACGAGCCCTCAGTGATTTGAGTACTATCAGGAACGGTGATACGGATAGCAAGTGAAACAAAATACTTGTTTCTGCAGGAGCACTTCCTGATCGAAGAACACTGTACGGGGCAAAAGTCGCTATGACAAAGTCAAGACTATTGACCATTGTTGATATGAGAAAGAATATCGCCGTGGAGGCCATTCGTGTAATTGAAATGGTGGAGGAGTCTGTTCTGTTTATGTCGAAAATGCCTTGTCTTTGATTAGATAGTTGTTGGAGGAGCTCAAGTGCGCCGATTGCAAGCAAGGGGATGGCGATAGTGGCCGTCATGAAATACAATGACCCAGCTATAGGTGTCCAGCGCTTGGCATTGGTGGCCAGACGTTCTCGGTCATCTGAAGGACTGTTCTTCCCCGTTTCATGTATCCGAACACCACCACTGGCGCTGGTCATGGTGAACTCCACGTCTCTTATACTTTCAGTCAAACTCTTTTCGCTCAATCCACCCGAGCTCTGCAGGATCCTCTGCAGTGAAGGATTGTTGGCCAAAACAGCAGCATGACCGGCAATAGAGCCACCCATCGCAGAGAACCAGCAGTGTGTAGAAGATACAAACAGTAAGAGCAGGCAGACGATAGACAAGAATGAAAAGCCTGAAACCATGAACCAAACTGTCACATTACTCATTTGTAGCCGTGGGCTGCTGACGAGACCATCACCTGTACTGTTTGTAGCTTTGTTCACGAGCAGTGACTGACGAGCCATCTCATTGAGAAGCCCTTCAAGAATCTCGACTGACATCTTCCTCAGGGTTGACGGTACGGAAAGAACGTCAGGTCGGAACTCGTCTCCTAACTTGATAGCCATCAACTGAAATAGTGCTTCGCTAGCAGTCCAATCGCGGCTCATCTTGGTAGATTCAATAGTTAGGCGGGGGACATTCTCATTGTAGACAAGAGTCGAAGACGCTACTTCGAGATCTGTCATAAGCATTTCGGACAGTGAGAAATTCGTCAAGTTGTGTAACTGTCTTCCTTCTCCATAGTTGGAGGTTGGGGTCAGAGACACATTGCTCGAGAGCATATCCTGAGTTGCAGTGACCGAAACCATTTTGTAGCCAATCTTGCAAAGAACGGCTGAATGGTTGTTGAGTTTAATTCCTGCCAATTCTGTATAGTTATCGATCATGGAGGGGATGTTGTGGTTAGCGACTGTGATGGCGTATCGTACATCAGAAGCCCCCCCGCCATTTGCTTTTGAATCATCCGGGGGCCTGGTCTCTGAACAGTTTATGCGGTGAAGCGTATATGCCCACGGTTGGCTAGCACATCGGCTGCTATTCAAGCTATTAGGTCTATAGTCAGGACATATGAAACTACTGTTTCTTCCCGTTGAGCACGTGGACGAGTTCCACATGTAGTACGAGCCTTGGTCGGTGGGAGGATCTAGAGTTAACGTTGCATCTTCGCAGTTAACAACAGGAAGAAATAAGTCGACCGGTGCTGCGAGAGACGTCACGTTGAGTGACGATGCTGTCGATTTGAACCTCTGGGTTACGAATCCACCTTGGGTGTTCCAAGCATAATCACGTACCACATCGCCTCTGAGACGAGACACGTACGCATAGACAGGCTTGTCCGAGCCGCCATCGAAATACACCTTTTCCCCTTTGATTAAGAAGGGACTCGGCTTCCTGTTCCCATAAAAATATGGCAAACCGAAAGAGGCCCAAGTACTAGCAGCGTCGAAAGTATTTTCGTACGTGATATCCACCGATTCAGCATGCGACGGATGCTGAACCACGAATAAAGTAGTGGAAACAAGGATGATACTTTTGAGTAGAAAGAATGAGATGATTGTGGCGAAAACACGGTAATGACGGAATTCGCAAGCTCGGTATACACTCTGGAGCTGGAATGGTGACACATAGTCCAACAGAAGCGACCTGGAACCGAGTACAGGCCCAGATTGAAGTTCCCTCCACGGTTCAGCAGCCTTATAATAGTAGTCGACTCGTCTCCAGAAGCTCAAGACGATTATGAGCACGGCTGTAGGACCGTACGTCCAAGAGTATTCGTTGGAGGAGAAGTGGAGAGGGAAGCCGTCTTTGGTATCGGAAACGCATTTGAGGGTGATGAGCGATGCAGCGAGGGCTGCGAAGATGAGGGCGAATATGACCAGTGCGTATTTGCTGAGCCAAAACGGTGGCTGGGTTACTCTCTGCTGATGAATGTTTGGCTGCTCTTCTGTCGTGTTGCCAGGCGATCGTTGTTCTTCAGCAGAGTCTCCCTCTAGTCGAGGCTGCAGCCTATGGTTTAACGTCGGGGAAGTCATCGCGTAACCTTAATTAAAGTTGGAAATATTCCGAGAACAGCAGATTGTCACCGCCTATTTTCGTATCTTAAACCTGATATATAAGCCCTTGCTTCACACGCCTGAGAAATCAGCACCCTGTAATCCTGAGAAATTGGGGGCCAACGGCACGGAGTGACGCAAGACTTGCCGTTTGTGTACTCTTTAACCCAATTGCAGCTTGTAGCCTAGAGCATTGCGTCATATAATGCAAAAAGCAGGATTGGATAACACATTTGTCAATGGATAAAGGGAAGAATTAATGAGGTCTCGAGAGGGAAAAAAGCTCTGTACCCTGAAGCGCGAGTATTGGGTTTCACTATGAGGCACACCGCTAGCTTGAGATGAGGGGAATTGTCAGCAGCGAAAATTCACAAATCGCGAGTATTTTAACACAGGGCTCATTCTTTCATCTGCACTATATACCGGGCGCTTCGTGTCACACATACAAGACGAATACGATGATTGACCTTGAAACCTTAATGGATGGGCATACTAATAATAGAATTTCGACATCTATGTATCTAAACCATACAGAAACTTGCGAATATCTCCCAGCACGTTCTCAAAGTCATAAGCTATCGTCAAGTGTTTACCAAAAGATCGGCAGGTCAACAGTTGTTTCCCAATCCATGTTAGAGTCCTTCATCTCTATCCGGTCAATGCAAGTGCCAAAGATCTTGTCCCACAGGCGGGTCTGCTTGCCATAGTTTCCGCTCGTCTTCCAGCCCTTTCGATGGTGCAGATCATGGTCTTCAATCACAAGCTCAGCGTCGAGCAGACGAAGCAGCCAGCTAAGTGTGCCGGGGGGTGATGTATAGACCCGCAGGCCACTATGGCCACCCACCTCGGTAAACATGATGTACTGGTGGCAGATCCACCACTCGTAGAAGCCCATGGGCATACCCATCAACTTGAGGGAGAAGTATGTTGCGAGCGGGATGACGGCGATGTCGAAGATCTCCTGTTCGAAATCGGCGTAGAGTGTCAGAAGCGGGTTGGGGTGCTTGGTCAGGTGATGAGTGCGATGGTATTTCCAGAGACTGCCGACCTCGTGCATGAGTCTATGGTACCAGTAGAACCAAAAGTCAAGCACGATTCCGTACAGGCCAATCTCAAGTGGTAGCCAAACCAAGTTGATGGACGAAGGGGCCTGGGCGGTACGGTAGCTGAGGAAGACAGTAAAGACTGGGCGAAAACTAGAGGTCGCGAGGAGGCTCTTGACGACTTTGGTGACGCCAACATCAGGCACACCATCTCTCTCATGGACATCACCATCCAAAAAGCCCGTCTGGTGGCCTACTCGACGAAGAGCATGGAGTTGATGCACAGCGGTGACCTTAAAGGCCAGACTGTAGAAGATATATGCTTGGATGGGTGTAAGGTTATGGCCGGTGTATAGAACATAGGCGTGGTGTAAAGCCATCGGGATGAGTGCATGCACAAGCACCCAACGGTGCAGCTGCCACTCAGGTGTATAAGGAACTTTATCTCGCTTCTGATGAACGGGTACTTTTTTGTCGAGGGTATAGGGGTGGATGCCCAGGATCTCGAAGAACCAGTGCGACAATGTCCAGTTGCTTTTATCGGCGCGACGCCAGGTCGACTTCATAGAGTCTTTCGGATTTTGCCTCGACTTGAGGCTGGTTGATGGATTTGCATCGAGTCGTGACGAGTTGGACTCGTACACGGCGGTTGAGGATCGTGAAGCCATTTTGCGTGTATTGTAAAACAAAGGCGAAGATGGGATTCGATTATCTTGGTCCGTTGAGGAAGTTGGGTTTGGTCTTTATATAGTTCGTTGGTTGCCACATGTAAATATGGTTCTTCGTTTCTGTGTTGTTTAGTGGACTCCACCTCTGTCGCTAAACTTGGACTACCGTGTTAGTCAATTAGGACTAGAGTTGCCGAGGTTCTGCAGATCATCAGTCCACACGTCAATGGGCACCCCTAATTCGGTACTGGTTTGCGATGGGTGTGATGGGGGAGGGGCATCAACACTGGCCTGATCATGCACCATAGCGCATACTGGCACATAGACAGCTGAAGGTGTACTCCATCGCCTCCGTCATAACGTCTCATCGATCTAATGTGCACGACGCACGACTGCTCAAGGGCAGCCTTACTAGGGAATGCGCAAATATCGCCGTATTTCCCTTTTGCTAGGTGAAAAAGGCCTATACCAACATCATCGTGACCAGAACCCGTTTGAGCAATCCAGATATCGCACATGCTGAGAATCTTTGTCCCCTTGCCACTCGGGCCTATGGCCCATGCGCAAATCTGTCTGCCACATCCTAATCGAACGTTCCAGTTGAAGCTCGGAGGGTTTCGTGTCCTTCCATTACTATTGACGTGACGATCCACGTCATCAAAGCAACCCTGGATCTAATCTTCGTTGCACCTTCTGTCATAGCACGTGTCAGTCAAGCCCTTGAAAGCGAGGGGCATCATTTCATACTAGAGAAGGGCAAAATAGAGTGCGCTCCATTGCGGGTACTAACAGTTCACATCGCAAGCTAAACTCAAATAGTGCTCGGGGTCGGCTCACGCTACCGACCACATGGTCCCACTACTGGAACTAGTACAGCAAATAGTTACGGGGCAGATGCAACCTCTTTTGGTTCCTTTCTAAGTGGGAAACTGTCAAATGCCAGAATTTTGTTGGGACAAAGCTTGGCTCTGGTACGAAAACGCCGTGGCTGGTTCTGTGGCTAGGGTTGAAACGTCAGTGGCTGTGTTCCCTCCCTCTAAAGCTGACAAATTTTGCTACAGATCGATCGCTGGCCTCATGTCACATGAGAATAATACTTGTGTTACCTGATCCAAAGAACAAATGTCGAGTCCATGTCGCCTCTGTCAAGTACTGTACGTACCTTGGCTTACAGCCATGTCGGTCCGCCAATTAGAAGTGCCGGAAAAAGGATCCAACGATTTCCGGAATAGCCCCGCTATCACTACACGTTCATGACACGACTTCGCTTATCTTTACAGCCTAAGAGGAGTCTGAGCAACATGTCTGCTCTTGAGAGGTTGCCACTTGAAATTCTCCATGAAGTTTGTACTTATCTGTCAAGTACTCATCCTGATGCTGACCGCATGTAGATCGTGTCGTACCTCCACGATGGCTACGAGCGTCATCACTTCGGTGGATACGACCCTCCTCTAGGCCAGCACGAGATAGCAGGGATCAAGCGCCGCTCGTACCTAGCATCTCTACGTGTCGTAAATCTTCTGTTCTACCAGATCGTCACGCCCATTCTTTTTCAGCACGCCATCATTTACTCCGGCAGTGTCATAACGAGATGGGGCGTAACCGCTGTGACCAGCAACGGCGTCACCGGCACTGCTCGTCTTGTAAAAATGTCAAAGCATCACCAATTCCGCGAAATTGTACGCCGTCTAGAAATCTGCTTGAAAATACGGGGTCCGAATGATTTCCAAGATTACAAGCCTGTCATTGAGGAGAGAGACAAGGACCTTGAGTACATTGCACGAATGGGCGCTGTGATTCATAGTGCATTACCCAGATTTACGAATCTCAAGATCCTGAAGCTTAACTTTGAGGACATTCCTTATAGTTACAGCCAAGACTTTGATGACCCAGGTATGAACAGTTGTTGTTGGGTTCAGGACACTGAGAATTTCTTCGAGTCCTTGGCAACAGCGCTCTTCAGATCTGGGCTCAAGAATTTGGAAGAACTCGAACTCTCCTTACCTCTCGCGTATGACTTTGGGCATTTTCTCCGGGACGACGACAATGGGGGACCTCACTCTCCAAAAGCATTCTTCAAACGGCTCAAGCGTCTGAGTGTTCACTACGGACACTGTACCGAGGAAGACGAAGACCTCGAATTTCGGTATAACCAATCTAATCAGATCTTCGACAAATACCTCCGACAACTGATACCACTCGCGACAAACTTGGATACTCTCAAGGCCAAGGGACCTGATGTGCTGGTGCTGGATTCATCAAGCCTGGAACCCTTGACCCTGGAAGTGCTGGACCTACAGAGTTTGTCTATAACAGGAGAAACACTTATAGCGCTCTTTGAACGGTCCACGGCGCTGCGAGATGTTGTGCTAATGGGAGTATACCTCGAGTCCGGCACATGGGTCGAAATCCTCACGGCCCTGAGCAAAACGACGCTCACATCTTTCTACATCGAAACATGCGGCTATCAAAAAGAAGGCGAGACTATACAACGCGTCCCCCTGAACCCAACCATGCAAGCCAGACAGGACGATAGTTATATCGAAACCAACCGTGCCGAAGACCTTGACGCGTGTGAACTGGTGTTTGCGCGGGTCCATGAGAACATGCGCAAGATACACGGGGATAAATATGATGAAGCGGCGGCTGAGAAGAAGCGGGAGGTTCTGCACCAGGATATTATTCGGAAGACCGGGTCGCTTGGGGAGTTTTGTAGAAGGTTCTTTGCGGAGGTTGAGCGGGAGGAGGATAGTGATGATGAGGATTCTTCTGAGATTGAATCTGAGGATGGGTCGCACATCGCTGAGTTTCTTGATGTTGCTTTTGGTCAACGTACTGGAGACTCGGATGATGATGAGGATGGTGTCTCTTCGGATGTTGTGTCGTCGGATTCAGGTTTGTCTGGCGATGAGTAGTTCAATTTCTATGGATTTCGTTGACGGGGTTTTATCTTGTAGCTCTGCGGATGCAAAAATGGTGTAGGACACTTTCGAGGGGAATATATGGGATTCCAAAGCTAGCTTTCTTATATCTCATATGTAATATCAACGTTCATGACCCTCACGACAACTAAAAGATAAACAATCCAGCGCCGATGAGCATGCTAAATAACACCGCAAGAATGGATAAAAGCCCACCACTTATCAGCATACTCGAGGCTCCATTATCTTCATCCTCATCCCCAGCGTCATCATTCTTATCATCGCCGCTCTTTTCCCCATCGCTACTCTCATCTCTATCCCCAGTTAGCTTCATATCCGACTCTTTGTATACAAGCTTCACAGCAGGAAAGCGTCTAACAACCGCAAGTTCGTCATACTGGAAATACGCCCGAGTTTGCAAAGCTGTCATCGGAAAAATCTTCGGATTTGGCTCCGCCGTTACCACCGATGATATATATTCCGACACATCGCTTGACTCTACCGTATAGACGGAACGTGCGGCCATTTGACCGAGGTGCGTGTTGCAGACTTCTGTATATGTTGCTGATCTCAAGGGTTTGATGGATGAGAAGCAACTTCCTCCCTTTGCAGCAAACCAGCCAGTTGTAAAGTTAGACCGCGAAATAGTGAGTCAGGAATTGGGACATACCTAGGCAGCAATATGCCAGCGTCTCAGAGGGAGTCAGTGCATCAAGCCATACTCGCTCCACGAGCATAATGGGATTAATGAACGACACGCCTGGCGGCGCAATCCTTGTCTGCGTAAAAACGCCTCTCTTCTCAACTGAACCAGTTTGGTTGCCATGCGCCAAGGTGCCAGCTGTAGTCCAGCCCTCTGGACAAGCGATGTCAGGAGAATAATAGTCAATAATATCTTCACCTCCGTGATCGTTGAGGTAGGAGGACAACTTGTCATAATTGGAACCGGATGGGAGACATTTCCCCATCGAAGTAGTTTCACATGTTGGGGCTCCGTAACCGATTGTGATAGAGTCAGGATGCGCGAAGAAGATTTGGTCCGTCGTTGCAGTTATGCAGCTTGCGGGAGGCGTATATGTCGTTGTCAGTGGACCGTTGTTGATGAGACCAATGCCAAAATATGTAGTGGCAGTCGGCATCGTGATTAGTTATATAGGAGGTTCTGATAGCTTATTTTAAGGTTATTTTTAAGGTGATGGAGTGAGAAATAGCTCAGTGGGGAATCTTTAATGACTGTCTGGCTGCTGCGCCTTGCCATGCGGCGTGGCAACAAAGACCAATTGGAGAGGCTGTCATCTTATCACCTGCCTCTTTGAGCACCGTGCTAGCTCATGGAACCTTTACTTATTGGTAGGATTCTAGTCTTTGTCATCTGAAATTTGCAGCCAAGACAACTGCAGAATCACATCTGCATTACCTTGGTGTAGACTGTTCTACGTCAAAGTTACAGACTGCCTAACACGCTCATCGTAACTAGGCACGAAGTAAAGAGAAACAACAAAACTGCCGACAGGTGTTCAAAAGGCGAACTTGCTATCATAATCTTGGAGTGGTGACGACATACTACTTAAGCTCGCCGCAGAGGAGTTTCTACCGGGTCGGCTCTAAGGCTTGCAACATCTACCCGACCGCAACCACGGGGAACCAAACTTAACCTCTTCGCATCTTCCAATTGGGATCATGAACTCAACTATATGGGATGTAATGTCGATTTCTCTAGAGGCATACGACTGCTCATTTTGCTACCAAGTATACCAACTGCCGGGGTAGTTTAGCCAATAAGCGGTAAAATAGATAAGCAGCTGACTACTTGCATACAACCAGTCTCACTGGGATTAAGACGAGGCTGAGCTTAGAATATCAATCTCAATCTCCGTCTTCTCTTCACATAACATGTGGAGACCACAGAAGATAAGCAGTCAGCTCCCAAATTCGCCGAACATGAGTTCGTTAGATGAGGGTGGTATTTGCATGCTGTCCCTCGATGTACGTGGCTTATCTTCATTATACGTCCTCAAACGTATCGTGGATAGACATAACGCCAAGAGAAATATATTGGGACAGAGTCTGCAGAAGCCAGTGGATATCTTTGATCTAACCGGAGGCGCGGGTACGGGCGGGTAAGTTTTGTCAGAGGATAGGTGACTGCGCTATTGCTCACTTCCTTGCCAGACTGACCGCCATAATGCTTAGAAGTCTGCAAATAGAGATTGATAAATGTATCTCGGCTTATAACGACCTTATCCTTTTAATTCGACCTTGTAGAAGTATATGTGGAAACAGGGCTGCCGGAAAAGGCGATACAGCTCACTGAAAAGGCTGGTATTTCAGGTGAAGCACCTATCAAAAGATGACAGCAGCGCATTGGCGGTGTTGTTGGCTCTAGCAAAAGGCCATAGCTTTAACAGTATGCTAAAGCATAAAATTGATCACCTAGAGAAGCTCAGAAAAGCTGACAGCAAATTGAGCGCAATGGAAAAGTTGATACTTCTGGATGAGCTTGGGAAATGCTATAACTACGCTGGAGAGTATGAAAAGGCGATCGCAAGCCTCGATATGGGGATCGACGCTGCGGAAAGCAAAATTGCAAAGGATGGTCCGCTTCTCATTGGTATCAAGAATAACCTCGCATATGCATATGAGCAAAAAGGTGAACACAAGAAATCTATCACTCTCTTGGAAGAGACCTTGCCTATCCAGCAGCGCAAAATCTTGGGCAAAACACATTTCGACACCCTCAAGATTCAAGTATACCTCATCGAGCAATACTGCAAGATCAAAGAGTTTACGAAGGCCATTGCACTTTTGGAGGAGCTTGTTCCTATCCAGAGAAAGGTTCTTGGGCAGATTCATAAGAAGACTACGTCTTCCGAGAATTATCTTGCAGAACTGTATCTTGAGAATAGAAATGTGTATACAGCCTTGAAGTTATATGAGCATATAATTTCTATGCGATAGAAGAATTGAGGGCCAGGTAATGAGCAGAGGAAGTTGGCGGAACCGCGCTATGAGAAGTGTATTGAGAGCTGGAAGTGGACTTAGGCGCGGAGACGATACCGTCGACTTAACAGTTATTTATTTTACGTGAATAAATTGCTATGGATATTGCATAGTCGTCCTGAGGCCTGGGCTCGTTAGCCACCTGTTTATGCCTCGTTTATGAGGTCTGTTGGCTGAACCTTGCGTACAATCCTTGTTAGCCAATTACCGTACAGAAAGTTGAGAAACCCCGCTTCTAGAAATGGCGACGTGAGATAATCTTACTCCCAGAAGTTGGCCTTTCATCAATACCGGCCATATACTATTTTAAAGATAATCTTACAGCTCATCATGCCACTCCGCTCTCTGTATCTAGCCAAGTCTGGCGGAGGAACAAATCGACGCTCTCATTTCGCCCTCTTCATCCCAAACGCAGGCTATGATCGGGACACTATGAGTGAGGACTTTAGTTCTCTCAAGGCTATTGGCACAAGAATTCACGTCGTGGGAGAACCACTCATGTCCGGTTTTGCATTCGAGATTCATAGGAACTATAACACTCAAGCCTACCCGGATCTGAAAGAGTTGGTCTTTCTTGGGAAGATTGACGATTCATTCATTCACAACTACCCCGAAACTGAATCAGGGATAAGGGAGAATACACCGAGAAGCCTTATCGAACGACTTGCAGAGTCCGTACCTCCGCCTCCCAAAGGACAAAACATCCGCGCACCAATTGACGGGGTAAGGACCCTGTCACCTCAGGCCTTCGGCGACTCACAATTTCTATACAGGTGAATACAAAAAGATGCCAGGAGTGGATGATGGAGGTTTTAGGCCTTCTAGCCGCAAAAAAGTCAATACCTTCGGAAGCCGTGGGTATTGCACAGAGGGAAAGAGATCTGCCGACTAAGGGGATCTTTGGCAACAATTTGTCAAAACATGTAGGAACAAAGAAGTCCCCAGACAGGTAGAAATTTAGGTTGCGCAAATTAAAATCTTATAACTATAAATTCTGATGTCAGTCTATGTAAAAAGATAGACGCCACACACAAGTCAGTCATCGATTCCCGTCGACCCATCGGATTCCTCGATAGCCGCTGCTGCTGCTTCAAGCCTTCTCATTGTCAGAGGAAACAAATTCCATGAAACAGTATCAAAGTGTCTTGACCACTCCATATAGCTCGGAGAGGGGGTTATACCAAGCTCCTCGCATGAACCAAAGCCCAGATTCTCAGCAGCTAAACTTGTCATTGCATCTTCAATATTTACTTCTTCGACTTCAAATCTCTCGATGTACTGGGTTGTTGTAGTCAGGTCTGTTTGATCATCGTTAAAAAGGACTTTGGTCTGAACATCGAAGCCGACCCCGAAAAGATGTTCAATCTCGCCTCTTGGCATAGTTGGTGCCTGTGGTTCAATACGCTGCAGTGTGAATGGAGCGGTACTGCATTGCTCGATCTTGTCGTTTATCGCTCTTGACTTCATGAAGTATCGTACCTTGGCCGAGGGATTGTCGATCCTTGACAGGATATCCTCAGCTTGATGGCTCGCCAGTACACTTTGTCCAACATTGTCACCAACCTCCGAGATTAGATAGAGTAGTAAAAGCTGTATGTTGACCTCAAAGATAGCAAAGCTGACCTGGGGCATAGGGTCATGAAGACTCTGTGTCCATGATCTTAAGGGTATTATGCACATGTTTCCGTCTTCTAGGAAGATAGCGAACAATGCAACAGCTAAATTCAGGTTTTGGCAAGTCTTCGCCATCTCCAGTGCAATTTCTAATGCCTCTAGTGGTGAGTTTGTGCCAAGGGTGTTTTCCTCAAGATGCTCTTGGCACTCCAAACACTTTCTCCTTGACATGAGAAAGGAGACAAGAAAGTTGGTAAATGCTGTTGCCTGGCCGATAAATGGCACTAATTGCAAAGACGAATGATGAGAATGACCAAGTACTCCGCAAACGTGTGCATCAGCTTCAAGAGCTATTAATGCGTCAAATGTTCTCTTTGGCAATCTAACATTATATCCTGGACACCATCCGTTTAGCAGGATACTGGTGGCCAAATAAGGGGGGCATTCGTTTGTCAGAAAGGATATGACGTAATCATCGAATAACTCGTTGTTGGTCAAGTGATTTAAAAAGGGGCGCTGGGGTTTCCAAAAATACAGGTCGGAATCTGCAAAATGTTTACCAAATAATGGTTGAACGGCGTCGAGCATCTCCGTAGCCACTTCTAGACCTTCTCTTTTCCAGCAGTTGGCGAAATTCGTGATTTCCTTAACGATATCGCTGAGATCACATGGCATCTCCAATTCCAGTACCAACACTTTCACCATGCAAACTATGCCTTTTAGAAGTCGTGCTTGCCAGGGGAAGCGACTCAGTGATTCGCATCCAAGAATAGCCTGGCCAGCTTCTTTATCAATTAGAAAGTCATGTGCTGTTCGGTGAATAAACCGTACCCTCTCAGAAGCCTTGAGGTAGGCAGTGAAATTGCAAACGTGCTCTTCGCTGTCAGAGGGGTAAGACTCTTGCGGCTGCACGTCGAGTAATCCTGCACATCGAGTGTGTATTGAAGCACGCGTCTCATTGCATATTCGTATAATTTCTGCGGATCCAATCCTGCCCGTGCCCGTCAGAAGCCTTTTTTGTATTTTAGGTTCTTCGGCACACGCAATTTGAAATAGGAGTGGCAAGCTGTAAAATGACCAATCGCCCTGGCTCCCAATAGAAATTTCGCCATCCGCTCCTAGTATTAGGTAACGAAAGTATCGGCGAGCCTTGTCTCGATAGACTGCGCTTCTTGCGTTCGATCTTTGCCACATATCCCCGTATAGGTTCTCAAGGCCCTTGGGAAGCTCTTGGAGCCGTTTAGAAAGTAACTCCTCAGAATCTTCATTGTCGATCCCCTCAAGGATGCTATTTGTAGCGAGGTAAAGCCATAGGAATACGCCTTCGGCTTTACTAACAAGCTTTCGGCGTAAATCTTTCAAGGACCTGGAGGAAAGAGGGCTGCTCGATAACGGCTGGTCAAGCTTCTCTCTTACATAGACATGCATATCGAACGCTGTCAAATCCTCAAGTACAATTCCATCAGCATTCATCATCTCAAGCCACCTCATGATCTGCGTCTCGGGCCTAGTGGAAACACATAGTTTGGTATTCTGGTTCTGTGATATAGACTGTATAGTCTGCGCGAGTTTAAGAAAGCCATCTTCGTTCCGAATCTCATCTAGGCCGTCAAGGAACACGCACATGTGCCGAGGATCCAAGTTTGTAACATAATCCCAGACATCTTGCAATTCTTTGATAGACCAGTCATGATATACTGAATGCAAAGATAAGTGACTGAAGTGCCGTAGAGTACTCGAAATTAAGTGTTGTTGATACTCAAGCCTTTGATAAAGCAGAGAGCACCAAAGACCTTTTATGCTGTTCTGTTCTTCTGAACCAATTTTCCAGAAGAAGTGGGAGAGAATGATCGCATCGGGGCTCCATTCTTCGATCAAATCTTTAGTTTGATCCTGATTTAGGATGAATTTGACAAGTGTGCTTTTCCCGGAGCCCGCTTTTCCTCGGATATAGAACATCTTGTCATCTGAATTGAGCCACGAGTTCAAGGAATGCCACGAGCGATGAATATACTTCGTGTTGACCATGTAAGGGTCATGAGACTCTTCAGAGGATTCATAGCCCTCGGAACCAACGTCCTCAGTATCATCGCCCGTATGATTAGTGTCTTCTGAATCGCCAGCATAGGGATTGTGGTCATCTTTAGAATCTTTGTTATCCGCTAAATGCTCATAATCTTCGGAATATTCATAATTCCCTAGGTTGAGATCATCTTCTGAATGGTGATTTTTGCTAGAAGCTCCGTAATATAAGCCTTCAATCTCTTCATAAGTAGCGAATACTTGGTTAAGACTTGCATCAGCCGAGTCTAGGACCTCGTGGTACCGCTGCTTCATCCGAGTAGCTTTAAGGCTTTGAAGAAAGGTTTCGGATTTTCTCTTTGTTTCAGCGGTGGTCTTTAGTTCCAGGACTTGGCTGTCGGTATGCGAATTGATGGCTGCCTCGGCTCTGGCACCTTCTTGGGTAACCGCACTGCGTGTTGCAGCATGTTCTCGCGACACGAGATCCTTTACATCGGTGATGCCTTGAGCGAGCTGGTCTATGAGAAACTGGACATCTGTATCCAGTTTACTGAATGATGCTTCTTGCTGGAAGTATATGGCATCGCTTTGTGAGCTATAGTAAAGCTTATCTTAGTAGATACCTGGAGTATTCTAAATATTGAGCTTACCATAAATGGGACGTTAACTCGGTTTCTATGACCTTTTGATACTTCGAAAGTGATTCCTAGAGAGCCTGGAGCTTTTTTCGATGCCTCAAAGCTCTGAAAGTCTTCCGGATTGACTTCAAAAGATCTTCATGGGCCTGCATGCTAGTCACGCACCGAACTTCGGTCTCCAGCTGATCAGCAGCGTCTTTGCATTCCTTGGCAATATTTTGCAGCTCAGGGCTAGTAAACCTGGAATTTGAGTTTTTCATCTGCTCGCAGCGAGTGTGTACTCGACCGACGGCTTCAGACATCTGCCCCGCGTAGCGTTGAAGATCATCTTGAGAAGTGGTGGCGCCATCATATGCGTTTTTGCAAGCTACAACGACGTCGGTTGCGAACGAAATAACTTGCAGGACTGCGCTTGCCGCGCCGAGTGCTTCAAAGCCCGTAAGCATGGTGATTTTCTCTCTGGACAAATGATCTGACGCTCTGAAGTGAGGGGTAAAGAAGATGAAAAGTCCACAGCCTGATCAGGCTGTACAGGTCTGATGCGTTGGGCTGAATCGCGCTGACTAACGAGGATAACCAGTCAGAGACACATGCTAATAATAGAAATGTATGCACAGGATAATCAGTTTTTGCGGTCTTATGCATCACGTCTGGTGTTGCGTAAGTGGCTGAAGGTGCAAAGGAGAATATGATGTTCGCCCTGGCCTTATAAGCTTGTCCTTTCTACCGGAAACAATTCATAAAATGACATACAACCTGAGTCTGCGTCCCGACATCCATTTTACCAGATTCTAATTATATCGGCGCGGGCTAAAGCGACTGGATCAACTGCCAAATCGCGCAGCTTCAGTTGCCAATAGACGACCTTGCTGTTAATATACCCGTCGCCCGATGAGAAAACCCAAGAAGTGGGATTTTTCAAAACCGGCAGCTCCTTTACTGAGAAGACCACGTTATACTTTTGAGCTACACTTTTCCACTGCTGTATACTTCCCTCTGCCAAGTTAATCCCGTCTTGGGATGCTCTCCATGTGATGGTAACTTGGTCTTTCTCATGCTCATATCTGAATATAAATGCTTTCATCCGCCCGTGACACCATATTTCCAGAATCTTGAGATTTGGTAAGTGCTGAGCTGTGAGTGCAGACTCTTCCAAGAGATGATTTATCTGACCCTGGAATGAGGAACTTCCTCCACGAGGGTTATATGGAACTTCAAGACATAGCTGAGCCAGTCTTGAACCATGTTCGAGTTGCGGTGACTTTCGAAGATGCTGAATAAAATTCAGTGAATTCGTACCAGGAGGTGGGCAGAGTGCAACCAGATGGTGAGCCTTCTCTGCAAGAACCTTTTCGTTTATTGTCGGTAGTCCAGATGTTGCGTCCATGAAATAAGGATGCGAGAAATTTCTTGGAAAGATGTTGAAAGAAGACTGACGAATATGAGGGGGGAACTGAAGAATCAGACTGTCCCAGTTACTGAAATATCGTGGATCTGGTGAAATCTCGAGTCTGAAGGATGTCACCTTCGTCAGGGCCATTCGCAAGATCCTTGCCAAGCTCGAGCCCGCGATCCCTCTTTTGAATTGATGACGCATCCAAAGAGAATGGACGATGGGGACTTCCTTCAGGTCTTTTCTTGTCGCCAGTGCAAGGGCCGTGCCATGTAGTCGCTCCGAGCCTTGCACGGTGGTCGGGCTATGCCAAATCGTTCCACGATCCCTTTCATCCTTGTCATCCATGAATCCTGCAATGCTTGGTGAGCTTGCGAGGTCCTCTTCTAACTGGAAGTTTTCGTGGATAGCATAATCCATTGATGCGTCTCGGAATCGCCTATTGTCGCCAGGTGAGTAGGCGGTAATCTCAAGTATCAATCCAGTGTCCCGATTGCTAGAGGGATTCCAACGACGGAGGACGTGGAACAATACTTTGAGCGAATGGGTAAATCTCTGGTTATTCCTACACAACTTTGTTAGAGACAGACAAGTGAGATGAGAAGATCCACTAATCTCACCAATTGATGGTGGCATGAGACTCTGACTTATTAGCTTCTAGATGATCATAGTCCTGGAGCTTGATTCTCAGACACAAATAGCGTATATAGGACAGTCTCGCGGCCTTTTCGCCCTCGGTCATTTTTGAGAATCTAACCAGCTGGGAGTTGTCAATCAGAAGGCGCCGGAAGGTAAACCTTTCGAAGTACTCTTGCCATTCAGAAGAGACGCAGGCACACAAAACAAGTCCCGTAGTTCGGGACTTCTGCTCTCCAGCCACATATCCGAAGATCTGTAGTTGAAGCTCTACAGGGAGCCACGACCACTCGTAGGAAATGGGTCTCCTTGGGGTAGTGGGTGCAAAAGTCATGCTGAAAAGTGTGTATTTTGCTATGTTTTGAGGAAAAGGAAATTTTCACGACGGCGGCTGCTGGTTCCTATAATGGATCGAGTAAAACTTTGTCTTTTTTATAAACTTTCTTAATGACTAATAATGGAGGGAGGGCTGCCGATAAGGGCATGAATAAAGCCCTCTTTTTGTTAAACTTTAGGCAACGCGTGCTCTCACTCGCACAAATCACGAGTGAGCCATATTCGAAACTTTAAACGGCGAAGCTTGACACGATGCAAAGCAGACAATTGGAAAGAAAACATGGTACTTCTGCCCACATGATCCCACTCACTTAACTCAGTCGCCGACTCCCCATACTTTTTTAATCCATAGGTGCCCTCTTTACACAGAAACAACTGAATTCAGAACAGATACAAGGCGCATAAACCCCATTGGTGGAGAAGTCTCCAGTAAGACGCATTGGAAAAGAGGATGCAGGTGTCATCGTCAATGCAAAATTGCAGCTGCTCTTCAAGCGAATATATCCCCCTATAATCTTTGATATAGTTTGCTCCTACTCCGTTATATTGTTGAAAAACGCTGCACGAGTCAGTGGGACAAAAACCCATCGACACAGCCGAAAGTGGCGATGGTCGTCTCAGTACTTTAAGCAAGTTTAACCAAAGATTGTGTAAATACTGGAGGAGGTGCCTCGAGTTCGGTGGTAGCAGTTGAGACTTGGAGCTGACAGCTTAAATCAACATACAGGACTTAGTAGCAGCATCAGTGGTTAAGCTAAGCGCGATTCTTGTCTCAGTGGTCGATGATAGCTTTCCCGAGAGATAGGCAAGTTGGTTTTGGAGGCTGCGAGAGTGAAGTAGTATCAACGGCCGTGGTGAAAACAAAGGATCAGGGCTTGCATAGTTTAGTTTGGACACCAGCGGTGATAAGCCTAATTACCTCAATGATCCTGGGAGCAATCATATTTAAGGCAGGGTAAGCTTACGAAGGAGTAGGTAAACGAGTGACGAAATTCGGATAGGAGCTGAACTAAACCGAGCTGGGTATCGTCGAAGTGCCCAAACGAGCCAGCCAATCATGTTTGTCAATCTATAACACACTAACCCAGCTGAGAGCCCAAGTGGGACTAACAGTGACACCTCATAATGCCTCCCTGAGGGTATAAGTATAGACACAGGGACATATTAGCTTGCTTATTCTTTTCGCCATCAAACGAGGTGTCCTTTGTCTATTCTTGTCGGCCGGTGTTTCCAGCCATCTTCATCAACCATGTCGACATGCCACGCGCTTCAAGTCCCGAACACACAATGGAACCTCTGCCCCTCCACAGCTGCCTCCATACTATTCCTAGTACTCTTTGCAATCACAAACATCGCCCATCTCATCCAAGCCATCCAATACCGATCGGGGTACTGCTGGGTCATTATCATGTCGGCCTTCTGGCAAGTCTTCACCTACATCTTCCGTACCATTAGCATCTACAAACCGGCTAGCTTTGACTACTATGCGACATGGTTCGTCGTTATTCTTGTCGCGCCGCTGTGGACCAATGCATTTGCTTACATGGTGTTTGGGCGCATGGTATGGTGCTACACACCTGATGGCCGATTGTATGGCGTCAAGGCTTGGCAGTTCGGTTTTATCTTTATTATATTGGATATTATCGCTTTTATTGTCCAGGTTTATGGTGCGGCGCAGGCTGCTACTGGCAAAAACAAGACACTAGAGGAGAAGCTCGATGCCCTGCACATTTACATGGGCGGAGTCGGACTCCAGCTGTTTTTCATTCTCATTTTCGCTGTCTTCGGGATCCATCTTTTCCGCCGGCTTCGCAGCTCGAACTCGGGCGTAGATTCTGGAACACCGAAAAGGTCTGTTATGATGCTCTTTTACGCTATGTTTATTGCACTAGCTCTCATTGTAGTAAGTAGAGACTGATTCGACTGACTGATGAAGCCATATGTCTAACGAGATGTAGCTGCGAATTATTTTTCGCCTTATAGAATACTCCCAAGGTCTTGACAGTGACATCCCACGACACGAGGCTTACCAGTATGCGCTAGACTCGCTACCTATGCTGATTGCTTTGGTAGCATTCAACGTAGTTCATCCGGCTCGCGTTATGGGCAGCAAAGAGGCCAGCATGCCAAAGTTTTGGCAGCGAAACAAAAGGCATACCGAGATACAGTTAGACGAGGCATCTTGAGTTCACCTCTAGAAGATTGATTCTAAGTAGCGATACGTTTAGGATTGATCTAAGCGTATAGTGATATGGACTGAGCAACATGAGATTGTAGCTTTTATAGCTAAGATGATAACACCTAAGGCCTTTTAAGAATTGCTTTTTTCTTCTTTTGCTAATAGAATTGAATTTATATCTTTTAAAGTCTATTACATATCGCCGCATCTTATCTACCATCCAATGGCTTCCTCCCACTCTCTATCCTGTTGTTCATATCGTATCATTGCTTGTCTCTCCCCAGGGCCCAGCGATACATATACGCTTCTCACCCTCCGTGGACCAGGAACATCTCTGCTGCTGCGCACATCTAACTTTTCCTCCTCTGCCTCCATAATTCTCCGTGCAACTCGTCCAGTCAAATGGCTGCTCCAAACGCCCTCTTGAGCCTGCCTGGACATCAACAAAGATATTGCCCTCCGACGAATCCCAGGATCGCGACACCATGCGACTATGACAAACAAAACAGGTACAACTCCAATTTCAAGGTGGAACAAAGGGGCTGCTTGCGACACGGTGTCTGTTGCTTCGAGACCCAGAACACGGCTGGCACAGTCTACTAGCTCTTCGAAGTCACGGGTGTAGTTGTCAAGGCCGAGAAAACCTTGGTGGTTGTCTATATTTTCCCAAGGCAGGACCATGTTGAAGTACCGGCGGTGTAAGTCGATGAGCGCAAATGACCTCTGCTCGCTGGGCGAGAATGGTAGTCCGCCGCGGGAGGTGACGAATTTGTCGAATGCTTGGGACCACTGAGAAAATTCAGCGACAATCACAGAATTCGCTACTGCTTCTATCAATCGTAATGCCAAAATGGCATTAAGAGCTTCCCTGGCTTCCAGTAGAGAGCTAAATGTGTAGTTTGTGTTGGCCATCATAAACTGGGAGCCTGAAGCACACTTTAGGGAAAGTTGAGGCATCACGTCGCCTACAAGCTTGGAAAGAAGAGTTAGAATCGTAGAGCTTTCAAATGCTAGTTTGCTTACTATAGCCACTTGCAGCGCAAGCCGGTTAAAGAGGGTTTGCACATGATTAAGGATGCCGTTTAGACCTGTAGCTTGACGGAACTGGCTCATCATACGATGGCCATGCTTGAATAATCGAATTGCGGTTTCGGTATGTCCCTGCAGGATCTATTGACAGTAAGTTGCCTGGCCATACGAATAAGGATAATGGCCATACTTGCCTCAATGCAAATGAATACTAGACAAGACACTAAGTGGACATGTGACAGCGAGCTTTGAGAGGCATGTAGCTCCTTGATGGATAGGTTGTAATGTTTTAATGCAAATGGACTCTTATCCCCAGTATTGCCATTTGTAAAGGCCTCGTGATATGCCGAAAACGAAACCAGTGCATGGGAAATGCTGGGCTCGTACTGAGCAACCTGCAATACACTAATCCCCCAGAACTCATCGGGGAAGAAGGAAGTAAGTTGAGATAGGGTGCGCTCGATAAAGAACTGGATAGATCGCGCTTCTTGGGAGTTGCGGTATCCGGCACTGACAGTCTGGATCGGTGGCTGCTGCTGCAGTACCTGTTCTGCTGCAGCTGCTTCTTCGTAGCCGTCACAGGTGCGGCCGGTTGATGTGCCTATCAAATCATTAGTCTCACCGTTACTCAGCGCTCGCCAGCTGTCCTTACACCTTACACACGAGGGCCGTGCCTCGTCACATTTGACACGACGGACTAGATCATGTAAGCAATCTGTGCTGATCCCTACTTCTGGTGGCTTACTCCTGCGGTGTCCATTAATACTTGGCACAGCTATGGCAGCTCATCAGTGGTGTGGACTCACCTGCAGGTCAGGCACCCGGATCGGCTTCTCTGCGTTCTGGCTCGCACACGCTGCCCCGGCTTTACCTTTGTCATTGATTTGTTTTGTTTGTTGATGTACGCGTGCAAGCAAGGCCGCCCGCGTAGAGGCCTCTATGTCTTCCCGCAGACTCGATTTCATATCTCAGCTGACGTACGGAGGTTGGGCCGAAAAGTCTTTGCCCACGCTAAAATCGATAAAAGTAGGGTAAAAGAGCCAGTACTTTAAAATATTCATTTTTACAGCAGATAATCCCTGCCTTCTAAGTACTTATTCCTACCTTTAACTTCTATAATTTTTCTAATATATATAGGAATTCTTTCTATTTACTTTCTAATCTTTAATTATAAAAGGTTATTCTATATAGCCTCTTACTTATAAATAGCTTCCTTTTTATTTTTTAAGGTATCTTTTTTTATAGTTACTCTCTTTAAATAAGGCCAAGCTAGCTTAATTATATTTAAATTAGGTAAATTTAAATACTAAAAAAGGCGCTAGACTTTATATAAGTTATATAAAGTCTACTATATATAATAAGTATAAGCAGGAGCTTAATCTTCTTAAATAACCATATTAGGCCTCTCTTTTATATATTCCTTTATAAAAAGAAGTAATAGTAAAATAAGAATAACTTAATAATATTGCTACTAGTTAATTCCTCCCTTTAAGCCCCTTATAAGCTTTCTAGTCTCCTTTTTCTATTTCTATACAGGCTACTAGCCAGGTAAGTTATAAAGCTTTAACCTTTTTATACTATTTTTAAGCTCCTATTACTCCTTTATAATTAGCTTAAGCTCTTTATTTATTGCCTTTAAAGCTATAGTAGCTTCTTTCTTCTTTACTAAAGTCTTAGCGCTCTAATAGTAAAAAGGACCTTTTTTATTATAAGTAAAACTGCCTTAAAATATAAATTTAGTACTACCTTTTTAACGCTTATAAATATAGCTATATATAAAGTGCTTATTAGATTTCCTTTAAATATAATAATTACCTTAGTAGTAAAGAAAAATAATAAAAGTCTTATTAAACTAAATTACTACCTTTTAATCTTCTAAGGTCTAATTACAGTAAGCAATATACTAGTTAAGTCTCTCCTTCCTTATTACTATAGTTAATTTAGGCTTCTTAATTAGCTTTATTTTCTTATATCTTATAGCTTTAAAGATCTTCTTTACTATTAACTTAAAGATCTTAATTCCCTAAAAGCTAAGCTTACTAATAATATTAGTAGTAGTCTTTTCCTTGCTAAATTAATCTTTACTAACCTTAGCAATAATTAGGTCTTAATTTTTCTCTATATACTTTAAAGGCCACCCTAAGCGCTAACTATCTTTAACTAAAGAGTTAATAATCTATAGAGGCCGCTTATTAGGCTTAAAGCCTTTCTTAATTGCCTTAGTATATATTAAGTTAACTATATGCCTAGAAATTCCTATTATTAACTTAATCTCTTAAAAGGTTTTCTCTCCTCTAGTAGGCACTTTTAGTATTACTATTAAAGCCTAAGTAGTAATATTATTAGTTAGCATTTTTTAGTATTAAGAAGGAAAGAAATAGTAAGAAAATTGCTTAGGGAAGATTACTAATAAATTTAGCAGCAAACCCCTGTCAGGGTTTGCAGGGGTTATTGCCAATCAGGCAAAGACTTTTCGGCCCAACCTCCGTAGACTAGAGGCTTAGGTAGAGCTGCCCAGACGAGCCGGCCAATCAATTACCTGTCGGTTAGCTATTTCTGATTAAAATGTCTGAGAGTTGGAAACAGTCTATACCCTCTTAAGTTTAGTCTTCCGCTCCAACCGACCCAGCCAGCATCGTCCAACAGTCTGTGGGCAGCCGTTAAGAAGCTAGCAGCAACTCGAGACTTCATTTCAAGTCATACAACTTAGCGGGATGACCCGAACTGGATTAGTCCAACCAGACCCGAATATATAAGCAGTGAAAGACTTTACGCAAGAACATTAGACACATGGTAAATACATGGTGAAAAGGCAATAGTCACTTGGAGAGACTCTAATTAAATGACATAAAAATATTAAAAATTAAAGAAACCATGAACTATTGCTAATCCAAGTCTTGTCGCCTAAGTGTTGTACATAGATCCTGTAATCTTAACCGTTTATCATCTACATGAAGAAAGCAAGGGCAGCTGGGAGAACCAGCATGAAGCCACTGCGAACCACGCTGGCACCACTGACGGGAACAGGAGTGGTAGAGACGGGAGTCTCTGCAGCGGGAGGAACAGAGCCAGGCTGAGAGACTGTAGGAGGAACAGATCCGGGCTGAGAGACAGCGGGAGGAGGCGCGTAGCCAGTGGTAGTGCCGGGGGCGGGAACCACGGGAACGGCGGTGGTAGGAACAGGAGCTGGGTAGACGGGAACGTGGGTGGAGACGGTTCCGTTGCTGGGAGGGTAAGGCATGCTGTGAGCGGGAGGGGCCACGGGCTTGCCACCAGTGGGCTTCTCGGGGGTGAGGTATCCGGCGGTAGGCTTCTCAGGAACGGGAGACTTGCCAGTGGGCTTTCCAGGGACAGGGACCTCAGCAGTAGGCTTCTCCTCACCCTCGGTAGTAGGAGCAGCGTGGCTAGGGACCTCATAAGCCTTGGTGCCGGGAGAAGTAGTGGTGACGACCTGGAAAGTAGACTGGGCCTTGGAAGGATGAGCAGTCTTTCCCTCCTCGGGGCAGTAGGTGGTGGTGTCGACGATGGTGACGGTAGGAGCAGGAGGGGGAGTAGTAGGAGGGTGGAAGGTCTTGGTAGTTCGGGTCTTGCAAGGCACGATCGTGGTGAGAGTGTCAGTGAGGGTGGTGACGGGAACGTGGACCTTGGTGGAGTGAGCAGTGGTGGTCGCGGGGACAGCACCGGTCTCGGTAGCCGGGCAGACGTAGGTGCTCTTGATGATGGTGGAGGTGACGATCTTCTGGGTGTAGCGGGCAGGGCAGTTGATGACGGAGGCAGCGCAGCTGGTTATGGTGTAGACGTGGGTGGAGGTGACGGTGCTGGTGACATCGCCGGTGGTCTGGGGCTTGGCGAGAGCGGAAGAGGAGCCAGGGCCACCGGGGTAGGCACCAGAACCAGATCCAGTAGTCTCGGCACCGGCGGAAGCACCGGAGCTAGAACCGGAACCAGGAATGGGGTAAGCGCCGGAGCCGGAGCCAGTAGTCTTAGCGCCAGCAGGAGCAGATGATCCGGAGCCAGAGGCACCGGTGACGGGATAAGCACCTGATCCAGATCCAGTAGTCTCAACACCAGCAGAGGCACCAGATTCAGAACTGGAGCCAGGGACGGGGTAAGCACCAGAGCCGGAGCCAGTAGTCTCAGCGCCGGCAGGGTAAGTCTCAGAGCCAGAAGAAGCGCCAGAGCCAGAGCCAGAACCGGTGGTTTCGGCACCAGCAGGATGGGTCTCCGAGCCAGAGGCACCTGATCCAGCACCAGTAGTCTCAGCTCCGGCGGAAGCAACAGATCCAGAGCCAGTGGTCTCAGAACCAGCAGGGGAAGTTTCAGAGCCAGAGGCACCAGGGACGGGGTAAACGTCAGAAGAATCAGCAGTGGCAGAACCGGTAGCATCAGCGGAGCCAGAAGCATCAGCAGAACCGGTGGCATCAGGAAGACCAGAGTCCGTAGTAGAGTCAGAGCCACCAGCAGGGACTGTGGAAAGAGTGGCGACCTCAGTGTGAGTGGAAGTAGGGTTGCCTTGCTGCTCAATGAAGCCACCGGGAGTACCGCGGTTAGGCTGGCAAACCTTGGCCTGAGCCGCAGTAGCAAGGGTGATGGTCAAGGTAGGAGCAAGGCTGATGTCGAGAATGTCGCCAACCTCAACGTTGAGCTCGACAGCGAGACCAAGAGTGAGAGCAATGAGCTCATCGACGGAGACGGCGCAGTTGTCGGTGGCGATGAGAACAGCAGTGTACTCGAAAAGGCTGACCCAAACAGCAACCTTGGCACCAGCCTCGATGTCGAGAACAGGAATGTCAAGCTCGGCCGAAAGATCGATCTCAGTTCGGAGACGGAGGCCAAGAGTGAGAGAAACCTCAGCAGAGAGGTCGACCTCGGCAGCAACGCCAATGGGAAGAGCCTTGGCAACAAGACCCTCCAGGGAGACGTCAACAATCTCCTTGGTGAGAAGAGAAACCTCAACGAAAGCCTCCTCACCGAAGGCAAGGTAAACACCAGCGGACAGGTCAATAGCAGCATCAACACCAACAACAAGGTCAAGAGCCAGAGCAGCACCGGCCTCAGCCTCAAGAAGACCAGGGACCTCAAGCTGAAGAGCAGCAGAAGCGAAAAGTTCAATGGACTCGTGAACAGCAGCGGAAGCAGAAATGTCAAGCTCGACGTAAGCCTTGATAGCACCAAGACCAATACGCACACGAGGCTCTGTCAGGAAACCCTCCACAAGCTCGAGAGTAGCCTCACCCTCGATCTGAGCATTGGGAAGGTTAAGACCAAGCTTGATTGCGGCAGCAGCACCAGAAGCAGGAGCAGCGATACCGTCGAAGAGAACGTGGTTCTCCCAGCTGTTGGCCAAGTTGCAAGTAGAAGGAAGACCGCCCTTCTGGCTAGCGGTAGACGTGGTAGGAGCTAGGTCAAGACCCTTGGAGGTGGTATCAGCGGCGGATGAAGCACCATTTCCAATCGAAACATCAACACCGAGACCAACACCGAGGCCGAGACCGTGAGGCGAGGCAGTGGCAACAGCCACAAGACCCCCCAAAGCGGGAATCAAACTAGAAAAATGCATCTTTTAATAAACAAATGTAAATGAGTGACTGGAGCGTGAAACGCTTCCGAATAAGTGAGTGAAAAGAGAGTGACTGGGTTAAAAAAGAGTGCAGAAAACTAGAGAAGACAAGAACCAAACGACGAGCAGAGGAAGAGCATTTTAAAGGAGGAATACAGTACCACGTAACTGTCGAACCATCTCCTTGACGATGTCACCTCGTGAAGCGGGCGGGAGTTGAAAAGCGGTCACAATTATATCCGGCGATCGCTATTTAACACCCTTGCCGTACGCTTTGCCATATTGGGCAATTCTCCTGTCAACCATGTGGAGTTGGGGTGCACGCGGGATGATTAGTCTGGGCCTCGGAGACTTTTCAATGGAGATGTTTCCACATGCTGGCGAATAGGAGGAGCGTCTTTTGTTTCGGGGGTCATGGTGATCACGACCGTTGAAACAAGAGGATGGATATAAGGGTGGCTTTTTTATCCCAGTTGGGGATTTGATCTGTTAGACTATGATCGCCGTATACTTATCCGTCATGAGAGTATCGAGATTGAAGACTGACGTTGTATCTAACGAGGGAAAACGGATGTAAGGAGATTTACTTTTTCCCGTGGTTCAGTTGAGGTCTGAGCGTACATGAAAACTGCCGGTCAGCGAGATGACTATGAACTGAGACAAAATTCGACAGGAGGGTCCAAGAGCCGATAAGCCACGGCACAACGGCAGCGCAGCCAAATTTTATCAATCATCCGGTCTAGAATAAACTCGTTCGCCCGCTGCGTAAACACAGCCATTCATGTCTGTTCTCTCGTCAGGGCGCAAACTTCGGCTGCGACTCTAGCCTCGCAGGGGGAAGTGGACCGAGCCAAGCCGCAATGACACGAGTTGGGCTTGGGAGATCATGTCTTGGAAATGCCACGAGGCGAGATTTAAGTGTATTGAGCGTGTTGATCGAGGTGGCGCAGGGTTGGACCCTGAATGGTGCGGTCGTGCAGGAAATACCAATTTCCTTACTAAACTCTCGACAATTTTTTCTTTTTAACAGATTTAGACAAGAAGTGTTTTGACGAATTATTTGATCTGGGATAGAGTTGGTTGTTACGTAGAAGCTTTTGCGCTGCGCTCGGTTGAACTGCCAGGGTTGTATTCACTGTGGCTGTGAAACTCTAGGAAATTGGATTGCTATGGGCTTTGGTGGTTACCCTATAGACGACGGTCAACTCCCGAAGACGGGGGATCTGTCTGCAGAATCTGGTCTGTGAAGTTATTCTAATTGAGGATATTATTCTGGGGAGTATTGAAAACGGGCAATATTGTGGATTGTTTGTTTTCCCCTAAATGTTCTCGACCAGTAATGTCATCAGCTTGCGAAACAACTCCGAAGATTGACAGTACGGAACATCATAAATGCAGGTCAAATAAGTTTGGGACTCGTTCGGCGATATCGAAATCTCTGCTACAGTGTGCTTCTAACTAAAGATTCAGATCCTTAAATTGATTGATTACTTGTTTTGAACTCACTTGTGCCCTGCGCATGTCTACAAAATCGTGATAGTGTTGCCGAAATATAGACGCTCTGTTCACGAGCCCAGTATCCGTATATCCGAGGGGTTGGTACATATCTTATTGATTATAATAACGTCTAAAAATATCCTCCGTCTATTAGTCCGATCAGATTACAAGTCCTCATTTCTATCATCCTCCTCCTCCTTCTTCGACCCTCCATCAAGACCCTCAAATAGATCAACGCCCCAATCCTTCCCAGGATTCAAAAATCTATATCTCTTATCCTTCTTCGCCACCTCCTTCAACTCCCCCTCAGTGAATGTAATATCCTGCGATCCAAAGTTCTCATCAATGTACTTCTCATGCGTACTCTTGGGAATAACAACAGTACCCCGCTGCTGCCCCCACGCCAACACCGTCTGTGCCACTGTCGCGTTCTTGCTGCCTGCGAGCTTTGTCCAGAACTCATCGTGAAGAATGCTCGGGATATCGGGGTTGTAAGTTGGATTTGTGTTGGCGAGTGGTGAGTATGCGATGACCTTGATGTTTTCGCTGGTGTGAAAATCCACAAAGGATTGTTGTTGTAGATAGGGATGCGTTTCGAATTCGTGCGCGTAAGGGCGGATGGTGGCGATTTTGAGAATGGCCTTGATGTCCTTTGGCGCAAAGTTGGAAATGCCAATGTTGCGCGTTAATCCATCGCGGACGAGCTCCTCCATAGCCTTCCAGGTATCCACGATGGAGATGTCATTGTCGAGGTCCTTGGTATCGGGAACCCAAGCGACGGGCCAGTGAATGAGGTACAGATCCAGGTACTCGACGCCCAGATTGGCGATAGACTTTTCAATGGCTTTGCGCACGAGATCAGGTCGATGATCCGTGTTCCAAAGCTTACTCGTGACCCAAATCTTATCGCGCGACACGCCGGATGCCCTGATGCCCTGCCCAACCTCCTCCTCATTTCGGTAGATAGCGGCAGCGTCGAGGTGACGATAACCCGCCTTCAAGGCATATTCCACCGCATGCGCGACCTAGACTCCCATTAGCACTGCAATCTTCGTGAACCTCGTATTCGAAACTCACATCTCCCTTGTTAGCCAACCAAGTCCCCAGTCCAAACGACGGAATCGGGTGGGTTTCGTTCCCGGTCTGCACAGCGGGGGGTCCGCCACTCAGTGACGTGGCCACTGAGAGAATGGCATACGTGACGACGCTCACGACCGTGAGGAACGAAAACGCCCTTACGAAGCTCATTTTGTTTCTTGCGAGAATGAGCGATGAGTGAGGGTTGGTAGGTGAAAAAGATGATGACTCGCGATGAGGAGAATTATCAGTCACTTGTTTTTTTTTGCCGCAGGCCGAGCATCCGGTTGGTTAGTGGAGTGAGCACGAAACTGCAGGGGTTCAATGATGTCATTACATAAGCGGATGACGATGATAACGAGGCTGGGGGGACAAGGTTTGGTGATGGCATCATGTGACTCATTCAAGGCGCTATCATGATAAATCATCATAAACATATTTAATCCATTGGTTAAGTTAAGTTTGGTGGTGAGGTTGGCGTTGTTACTCTCCTGGACATACCTCATCTCCAACGCGCCACTGATAGTCATGATCATTTACATGAAAAAGTGATAGAAGAAAAAGAAATGGGTATTCTATTGTTATGTGATACTTTACAGTGTTTTACACTTTATAATGATCGTTCCAAATTCATCTTATGTTACGACAGGTCATCCAGTAATGTGCCCGCACCGCAAATCACAACTCCGACATAAGCCTCTCGCCCAAAACAACACCATCGCTTCATGTTTGAAGTCACTCAAGAGGCCAGTCTCGAGTGCATGTCAACCACTATCTTCGGCCCGACGTCAAAGCCACAACACTCAAACCATTTAGTGACCAACCGAGCCAGAGTTGGAGTTATCAGCACAAGACCACGGGCTCGAACCCCCATTAGCCTTCATCGAGTTGTTGATACCAACAATCGAGCCGTAGGTACCCGCAACCATCATAAAGGTTCCAGCCACGATGACAAAGACACTCCAGCAAACCATAAGACACCACTTGAGTGACTTTTCAGTCTTGCCCTTGTGCCAGTTGTCGAAAAGCCAGAAGCAGCCATATGGCTGGAAGCACATCAGCGTGCCGAGGAGAGCTCCGATGAGAGACACCAAGCCGCCGAAAACAGGAATGGCACTGGCGATGATATACGCGATGATCGTCACGCTTCCTGTACAGGCTAACCAGATACCCCAATGCACGATGCCGTTGGAGTTGAGATGCTTTGTGCCGCGCAATAAGCGGATGAACATGTACTTGGCGGGGATCTTGGCAGGTTAGTATAGATCACTTGGAAGATGAGGAGACACTCACGTGAGTCATAAGCATGGCAGTCACGATAAGACCAGGCAAGGCAAATCCATAGCAGACTTTCTTCATGAGAATGCCAGCTGAACCGAGAGCAGGGGACGTAACATATGAACCGCAGTAGTAGTAGACTACGATTCCAATGGTGATGTACGTGACCGTCACGATCGATTGACAGGTCAATAGCGAGCGGGTGTAGTGCTTCGGTTCGCGCATCTCAGCAGCGATCTGGAAGAAGGCCGGTGTACCTGAGAACGCAAAGATATGCGATGACACAGCCGTGATACCGTCAACGAAGCTAGGGTTGTTGAAGAGCTTCCAGTCAGACTCCCAATGTCCTCCCTTCGGAGCAGCCGCAGGTCTGTCCTGCACGCCCACAGCGACAGTGACACAAAAGACTAATTTCTCGTGTTACCAAACTTGACCTCGTGAGATGAAGGGGGCTTGAACTTACTGGCAGTCATGATGCAGACGAGTCCGATCCACGCTAGCCAGCCAATCTTGCCGAGGGTGCGGATACTAGCAAAGAAGAAGCCCAGAATAGCTGCCACGGCAACGAACACAGCTGTGCAGGCTGTGTGTGTAGAGACCGAGTTGAGACCGATTGAGATACCGAGCATCGCTGAGCCAGCAACGAAGATCCAGTCTGCGAGTCATCAGCACCCCCCAGCCTCCCTTAATCACTGAGGAATGATGCTTACATAGCATAAAGACAGTCGCGAGGACTTCACGACCAATCCGCCCAAACATCAACTGCCCTGCGTCGTCGATGCCGTAAACCTGCGGATGTCGTCGCTTGAACACGCCGATCATGTAGTCTGACCATGTTGTTATGGCTGACACGACGATCAGACATATGATTCCGGGGATGAGGCCAAGAGCGTCGAAGGTCTGCGGGATTGATAAGACTCCAAGGCCGATTTGTGTTTTAGTCATAAGTGCGACGGTGGCAATCCATCCGACCTGGGTACTAATTAGTAGTTGTGAAGGAAAACGGACCGGGATTCGTACGTTGCGGTAGTTAGGACCGTCTTCTGAAACTTCACCAAAGATGGCGTCGATTGTCGTTCCCTCCTGGGTACTTCTCGAGGGAGAGCGTTGAAGATCATCGACACCCTCGATATCGCGAGGGAGTTCTTCCTTCTTCGCCATGATGAGTATCTTTTAACGAAACGTTTTCTTCAGATAATAACGGTGCCTTTGGTAAAGTCAACGTGAGAAACGTATGGAGAAAGGCAAAGGTCTGGAACGGGATGCAGAATCTGGGGAAGATGGAGCCGGGAGCGTCATGTCCTTATAAATCCGACCCTTTCTATGACTACAAGAAACTGAATTACCCCGGATTATAACTTGATCGTGTATCTCGCCCTGCTCCACTATGACTCCATGTCACTATCATCCGGCGTTTCCATGCCTGGCGAGGGTCCTGGTGGGTTCAACGGGGCCCTGGGGACGAGATAGGTCGTCGGTGAGACTTGTTGACCAATTAACTTTTGCGTGATATAATCCTTCTGTTTGGAATAGATTACTGTATCTCATGTCTTACCTTGAAGATAGTTATTCGCAATAATACTGGAGATATGTTATCACTACTCTCATTATTCCCTGGAAGATCATCTATCAAACACCATGTAAACAGATAAAATAACGCCGATAACGATAAAGCCTAAACTCTATTCCCAAACTCTCTGACAAGATCATTTATCCACTTTGAGATATTTGCAAGTCTAGCCGAAGTCCTCGGGTCAAAGTGTCATTAATCCATAATCATCCCGTCGTTCATTACTCGCGAAACCGTCCAATACGCGAAGATTACGGCGTCTCGGAGAAAAACGCTGACCAAGAGTCAAAAGTTCATAACTGGGTGATCCACTTGTACGTTACAGCCCCCTTGGTTTATGTCGATCAGCCTGGGTTCGGTATCACGGCGTTGAGGGCCGATCACGCTAGCGCCGGGCTCCGGTGCCGTGGCGGTCCTCTGATAAAAAGTTGTGTCGCTGCCATCGAGAAACAAAAATGAGGCATATTTGCCACGTTTACGAAGTTGCAGTGTGAGGCATTTGTCATTTTTGTGCCTGACAATCCCGAGTTTATTCCTCGGGGGAATATGCTTCAAGAATGCTTCTGGAAGGCTCGGCTGCATGCTTCGAGATTTCTGTGGATCTTGGCGGGGTTGGGAGATGTCGAGTTTGCAAATCGATAACTCTGTTCGGAAGAGCTCGGGGGCTGATGCCGGGGCCCATAACGGACTTTAGTTGTGAGAACCGGGTTATAAATTACATAAGGATATCCTACAGTGGGCAACTGGACATGGTCTGGGGATGTTCTATTGCTAGGTTCTCCTTTCGTTCAACATGCTACATCCCTTCAGGACCTATGTGTTAGTGAAATATCATAGGTTGAACGCTTATTGCTACCGTAAAGAGAGTCACGCAAGTAATGACACGATGGACATCGTGATAGTAATGTAAAGCTGTGCGGAATTAACCCGATGTGAAACATCGTCAGCTTCCTGATCGTAATACGAGATGTCTGCATTTCAGCTGCCATGGTTTGGCTCTGGGGTAACAGGCTTATCTCTCGATGATCATGTCGTCATCAGCCGCATAAGCTTTCGGCATTCCCGACACCCGCTGATCGACTATCTATCTTATCCCCGTTCATGGAGGGTAGCGCTTGCATAAACACGCTGACAACATGAATACATGAACTCAAATAATCCATGGCCAGCAACAAAATGGCAAGAATACCCTCAGTGGGTATGCATGTCTGACAGCGAATGGGGAGTATATCATGGGCCTCGGGCCCGCCGATTCATGATAAGAGCACGTTCCTCAAAGCTACCCATGTTCCTTCGGCTCGAGATGCGCTGTGAAAAGTGAGGCGAGCACTGTACGGGGTAAGAACTTTGCCGCCTAGGACGCTGAGGCCAATTTGAGTGGTTGGTTCAGAAAGTAACGGGGGCGGACGATTGCATCAAGATATAGGTAGTTATATGGAGATGCCAGGGGCTTCATGGTTGCCAGTCGGGTAAGTATCCGTCGTATTTCTCCACTCAACGTCAGACAGCTGGATGTCGCCCCGAGAATCGGGCATCTTACCAAGATTCGATTTGATATGTGTCTAACGATGCTGATATTAGATAACGGTTTGATTCCGTTAAAGCGCGGGTTTGGTTCCCGAAGAGTGGCGATGGAGCTCCACGACTGAAGAAGCCAGTATCAGGGGATAGCGGGTAGAATCCTATTTTTGGATTGTTTCTGTAGAATAATCTGATGCCGAAACATGTCCGGTCATGAAGGAAATCTGCGCAATCGGCCATATTTCCCTAACCGCTTTATGGGTCTCATAAACATCTCGAAGACATCCTCCTTGGCTTGCTCGACCTTTGTATCATTATGGCATGAAAACACTCGTTCAGTTACATCCCAGAGCTCGAGATAAATCTGTATGAGCTAAGACAAAGCGATTGATCGCCCAATGGTATACGCCCTCCATCAAGGTGCTGTCGGTACTTTATATTAAGTAGATGGAAACATGTATCTATCGGGACGGTGCCCTGAACTAAATTTCTGTTCTTGTCGATAGTTAGATCAACTCAAAAGGCCCCTGAGGTCTCTTCCCCTGTGTGCTAGATGAATGAGGACTGACATATTCCTCTCACTGCGATATCATAAGATGTAAATCGATAAATCTGTAGATTGATCCACAAACGGTATGGCCTGTTTATCTGAAGCCAGAGAATCCGCATTTCCATTATGAAATGAGTATGTTAATCTTACAGTAAGAAGTCTATTAAAGATACAGAAGCCTATTACACGTTGGGCGCATTTATTGAGAAAGGAGTGACACCAGCAGGGCTGCCACTTCCAATATACCAGAACTGAGTTTTCTCTCCAGCATCACCTCCATTCACATCGGTGTAGGTTGGTTATGAACATCATTCAATGCGGGGGTAGTACAAGCCAGCAATTCGCCATCGCCTTCTTCACAAATCTACATGAGAACACTACATAAAAGAGTGCCACTCAATCTGACACTTCAACTACTCGAATGTTTTGTTGGAGCCGGTGTTGCTGGGATCGTAGTACTCGACTAGGGTCGTCATGCTAGGTCGAAAACGAGGTAGTATGTAAGCTCGATATTTAATTAGGGCTATTGGTTGTTTAGATTTCCGCCGTTGGCGAGGAGGGAGTGGGTTGGGTTCGCGGCTGGTGTAGTAGTGATTGTCTCAAACTCGGTAGGTGTTGAGGCTGATGTCACCGGTGCCGCTTCTTAAGTAGTAGTAGGGGTACTAGAAGCCTCCGAAGTCGCTGCATCAGACACTTCAGTGGTGCTGATAGCCTCAGAGGTCGTTGCATCAGATCCTTCTGTAGTGCTAGAAGCTCCCGGGGTTGTTATAGCAGATACTTCAGTGGTGCTAGAACCCTCCTCTGTTGTCTCGGAAGCTCTGACAGTGGTGTTGGAAGCCCCCGAGGTCGTTTCGTCAGACACTTCAGTAGTGCTGGAAGCCTCCGAAGTCGCTGCATCAGACACTTCAGTGGTGCTGATAGCCTCAGAGGTCGTTGCATCAGATACTTCAGTAGTGCTAGAAGCTCCCGGGGTTGTTATAACAGACAATTCAGTGGTGCTGGAGGCCTCCGAAGTCGTTGCATCAGATTCTTCAGTGGTGCTAGAGCCCTCCTCCGTTGTCTCGGAAGCTGCGACAGTGCTGCCAGAAGCCCCCGGGGTTGTAGTAACAGACACTTCAGTGGTACTGGAAGCATCCTCTGTTGTCTCAGAATCTGCGACAGTGGTTGTGTCCTCCACGTTCGGTGTTGCAGTCACTGTAACCATGCTAGTCAGAACGGATGTTATCCTCGCAGTAGCTCTAACTAAGGCTAACCGTTAGCAGCCGCCATCTGTCCAGAGGATTCAAACTCACCTGTAGTCGTAGTCTTTGCATGGCAAGGAATAGCAAAGGCTGCGTCGGCCATAAGGCTAATAGCTAAAAGAAAGAGCCTACTAGAGTGCATGGTAGGTCGATTTGAGAATTGAAGATTTGGATGGATCTGAGCCGGAGGGGGCTGTTTAGTCCTCTACTGTAGCGCAGTAGTCTAATTATATACCTGTGAGAATCAGGATGATCGCATCATAGATGAAACTATATGTTCAATGGCTTGTTTATTGAGAGTTAGCATTGGCCACGGGAAAAGCACAGTCTATTCTGACTGAAAGAGGGAAAAGGCAATGTGTTATTTTGACCGAGTGGCTTAGGTCTACCCTGCTGGAAGTTGATTGAATGTGCCGGCCAAATGAATGCATCGTGGCGCACGAATGATTGACGAAGGCGGCGGGGTGTGAGGCGCGCGACGAGAAAAGGAAACGCAGGACCAAATAGATTGGGAGAAATCAGAGATTGATGGCAATCACAAATAAGAAGGCCATGCCATTTTTGTTCAGCTCGTCTCCTAGAATCGATATACTTCTCAAACTCTGTGATCAATGACTAGCTTCTCGCGACTCACTTTGCCATTCCAAACATCACGAATACCTTGAATCCCCTCCTCCACTCCCTTCAAGATCCTAAACCTCGGCGCCTCCCAGTACTGTTCATGGTTCTCAGCCAGCCAATGAATACCCTGTTCGATGCGCTTCTGCCACTCGATAACCCTATTCTCCTCTTTCTTCCTCTCTTCATCGCTTCGATCTTGAGCTTCAACTGCAAAGTCGACTTGCTCTACAACCCTGACACTCAAAGTGAACTTCCACGTCAGATCCTTCTTTACAAGAAGAGTTGATACTAGACGTAGTTCTTCTGACGGTATGTTGGGATCACAGCACTGGCGGGAAAGACCTGGTGAGCTTTGATTGTATTTATCCTCCAGCGCCTTTTCTTCTTCGGGCGAAAGACCTTCGAAAACACCGAGACCAGCGCAAACTGTGTCGAAAACAGTCTTCAGTGACTTGCCCGACCTTTCCAGATATGCACGTATATCCTTCACGACTGTAGTACTTCGATAGTCAAAGACTTCATCGGCCCCAAGCCTCTTCAAGGCTTCATGGTTATGGGGTGAAGCAGTCGTGATAATGGGACCGAAACCAGCTGCCTTGGCAATCTGAATAGCAGCCTGACCAACAGCGCCCGCACCGCCCCAGATAAGAATCGGCTCGTTCTTCGGATCGTCGCCAGAGATGCCAGCGAGCGGGAAGCCATACCCTGCCACATTGAACAGAGCATCAAAGGTAGTTGCACTGCCAACGACAAGCGTTACAGCGGTGATAGGATCAAGATGCGCAGGCCTCTCAAAGGCCATGAGAGGTTCCGCTAAGAGGAAGCTCTGATGCGCACCGAGGTAATTAGGTCGGTGGTCATACGGCAGCGATTGCCCAAAGATTTCTTGGCCGATTTTGAAGGGAGATTCGGGCCCAACTTGTCGAACGGTGCCGGTGTATTCGTAGCCAGCGACGTACTCTGACATGTTCATGTATGAGTGGCGAGTATCAGCTGGGTTGATGGCTGAGTATTGCACTTCTACGAAAGACTGTGCCTTTTGCGGGAGATATGGCTCTTCGATAGCGCGAATTTCATGTTTGCCATGTGCAAGCATATAGATAGCTTTGTTTGAACGAGACATATTGGTAGCCGCTTTCAGGAAAGCGTGTAAGTGAAGTTAATACACCAAAAAGCTTGCGTTCTTGAATCGTCGTTAAATACTCTTGCATAACGTTGCTTGATGGGTCAACCTCAACCAATCATTTTGCTCCCCATGAAGGTGAGACCATAAACGTTGACAACCGGAAATTCCGTTCGCATTAGCTTGGCAATAACGTTATGCGTGACAAAACATCTAACCGAAAGTAGTCTCGATAGCGCCTCGAAGTGAAGCGAGAAAGGCCTTGAATTACGATATGCGACGTTGAATTAATAATGCACTCTGTGATCTGGTTATCTAAACGTCGGAGTGTTTACATAACCATTATCATCGGCTCATCACAAGGCCGTTAATTCTTAATGTCCTTCTGCGCTTGTGACTATTAGCATAGATAACAGATCCGACATATATTGACATCTAGAATGGATACAATAAGAGTTTAGTTAGCTATCTTTATAGAAATATACTTAAGTATTTCTAACAACAGTAACGCTTTCTCCTCCTCTGTTACATAGCAAATCTAAGGAATAATATTTCTAAAAACGTGGAATGAACCTGAGTGGTACACCTTTTGCTGTTATTTCGCGTTGATAATGTATGCCGGGCATACAAAGGCAAATCTAACACTATCTGGGTCGAAATTCTAAACCAATGCTTCCCTGATGTGGCCGATTGTGCCCCGTCATATTCTGACCATATAGTTTTAACAAGCCGTAGTCTAAGTTCTGTCCGCTGATTTAAGCTCTCAGCCACGAGCCTCAACTGCAAATAACACATCTAGCTACACAGACAGCAATTGCAAAGATATGAATATACAAGGGTCGAACAAGAACATGGTATAAACAGGCTGCCATGTAGCCCTGAACATCTCGATATTTCAGCAAATACCCGAAGGTTCTTCCCTTTCTTGAAAGTACAGAACCACATCATTGACTACCGTTGCTGCTCATATCATTCATCATGCCTCCTTCGGCGCAAGTTAACGAACAACCTCAAGAGGTTAAAAAGACGCCCTTACAATCGATTTCACAAGGCGCCTGTCTCCCCGGTATCCCCAAACACCCCACCTTCGCTTTGAAAAGGCAATGGCAGCTGGAGCAGATGGCGCTTGCTTTTCGTGTGTTCGCAAGATTAGGTTACACAGACGGTATGGCTGGCCATATTTCCGTTCGAGACCCTGAGAATACACACACATTCTAGACAGTAAGTGCCAAGGTTTGATGCATGGGTACAGTAAGAGCAGGTGTCGATGAACCATAGAAGCCCTTGGCAGTGCATTTTGGCATGTTGAGAGCCAGCGATATGATCCTTGTTGACTACCAAGGCGTTCCGATCGGTGCTGCTTTAGGTATGTCTGGAGGTTCTCTATTCTTTACTCAGGTTGGTACTAACTATAATGTAGGAACTAAGGGCAAGACTTTGATCCTTCAAAATCATGGTCTCCTTAAGACTGGCACAACAGTCGATGAGGCCTGCTTTCTTATGACCCTTATGGAGCGAGCCAGTCAATGCCAGTTACTTGCTGAGGCTGTTGCAGCAGCTAATGGTATCCCAAAGGTTCTTATTTCTGATGCAAGTGCAAAATATACTTTTGAAAACTCAAGTGATCCAGAGACATTGTACTGGGAGGGCCAGCCGGACCTAGAGTACGAGGAATATCTATGTAAGGGTGAGCATAAGCTATAGGGATTAAGATAAGTTAGCATTACTGTACGTTTGTGTTCAGGGTAAGAAGAGGTATAAGCTATGGGCGGCATTGCTCAGACACTACGTATCTGTTCCATGAATCTAAGTTCTGTCTGCTGCTTTAAGCTCCCAGCCACGAGCCTCAACTGCAAATAACACATCTAGCTAACAACTTAGACATGAATCTTCTTCCTGTCATTGGCGTTCCCACTCTTAGACTTATTAGTTTTCTTGCCTTTACTAGTCTTAGAATTATCAGTTTCCTTGCCTTTCCCACTTTTCCATTGCCTCTTCCCTAAATTTGAATCGTCTTCCACATCATCCTTTTTCTCCTCTTCAATCTTCATCTTAGCTTTCTCTTTTCGGTTCTTCGTCATTTTAGTTGTCTGTTCCTCCCCCGAATTCCCTTCATCCTCTTCGCCACTGCCCTGGTTCTTCTCTTCAGTAGGCGGTATGTAAGTAATAGCCATCACAAGAAGCTTCTCCATCATCGCTTGAGAGGTTTCGTCGACGTCTCCAAAGAACATTGCAGGATCAATGGCTGCTACTTTCTTCTCTGCTTCTTTTCTGATTTCTTTCATCCTAGAGACTCCATTTGCCATCCTATCCAGTGTTCTTTGTTGTCGCTTCCCCTTAGTACGAGGGGACTTGCTCTTTTCAAAGGCTCCTTTATAATCCTTTTGAAGGGTTTCCAGTTCTTTGAGGACTTTGTCAACCTCGCCATCCTCATCTTCCCAAGAAGCATCGGAAACATAGTCTTCATCCACTTCCTCTTCCATGGAACTTTCGGCTTCTTCGTCTTCGTCTTCGTCCTCCTCAAATTGAAGCCCAGAACCAGGGAAGGCTTTCAATCCTCTTATGAAGGTAGATTCCGTTGCAGCCGATTTCTCAAATTGCGCCTCCGTCTTGAAAGTTGAACCGATGTTTGTCATAGTATTCCCATCAGATGGAAGCATTTTGTCTGTGCCGGTAGCAAAAGAAGCCACCGTCCAGAAGTCGGTTTTGAAGGTAGAGTTTCCCAACTGCAGGGGATAGGAGCCCTTCGAGCTTATACCCTTCATTTTGTCTATAGCTTGACCACTGCTTTCGCTAATATTAGTGAATACTTTATAGTCCTCCAATGCCTGAATTTTATATTCGCCCATTGGAACAGAAATGTCAGACATCGAAAGGTTGATACCACTGCCCGGACCTTTTTCCTGGTTGTTACTGTCATGGAAGGAGCTGCTTTCTTCATCCACGTAAAACAAGCCATCCTGCTTCGTGAGAGGAATCACCAACAATTCCTCTTCCATCTTGTAAGCTTTGGATTCTGTAAGGGGAGGACCTGTACTCTTCTGCTCTTGAGCCTTTTTCTTGGCCAGCTGTCTCAGCGATTGGCGAAGCGGGACGCTAGGCTCAGGCTCGTAGACTTTGGGACTGCCATCCCTGCCCAGGTACTCGACTTGCTCGAAAACTGCGTTGACCCAACGGAAGTGGACGATAAAGAATGGATCAATGTGTGCAGGCACAACACCCTGGTTGCAGATGTGACTCCACATCTCATGTGCTCCAAAACGGATGTTCATAACATCATCGTGTATTGTATCGGTGTAGTCGATCTGTGTGCTTGTCGTGATTTCTTCTTCTTCTTTACCACTGTCTTTTTTCCTTTTGGGTTTCTTTTCTTCTTGAATGGCATTAATGGATTTGGGGTCTTCCTCTTCATCAGATGATGGCATGGTCCTCTCGATATTGTCCAACTCAAGGGAAATAACGTCAGCACCCTAACCTCTCTGAGGCATCAGCACTTACCATCTCCTGCAGTTCAGCCGCCACTTTCTTGTCCACCTGGTAGTTGGTCGGGTTGTTATTATCCTGTACAAGCACCGTTCTTAGTATACTGAAAAAGCTGGGGACAGTGTCATGACTATGTCAATGATCCACGAGGCATGTTCGAAAACCTACTAAGATAGCAGCTTGCTGAAGTATCTTTTTCTTCCAAGTTTTGAGGGCATTCGCTCGATCCAAATGTTTCTGACTAAGTTGAGCTTCAGCGGCTAGAAGCATCCCGATGTCCAACTCCTTCTTTGCATAATCATTATACGCCTGGAGGTCTTTCTCGTGGATCTCTTGCAAATCCTTGTTGTGGTACGCACTGAGGTCTTTAGTTGTTAGAGCCTTCTTGGTCGCCCAATACGGAGACCGCGTGGTCCAAACTCTACCGTTTGGTCTCCCATCCTCCGCCACCCCAGTCGCTGAGCGGAGAAGATTAACAAGGCACCAGACGACGTCATAGGCTGTGTTTAATCATCAGAATTAATTCCAAAATGTGTGAAAACAGTATGGTCCTTGACTCACTTGGATGTCCATGTAGATTCCCTGGTGTAACCAGGAAGTTTTTGGCCTTAAAAATCCCGACTGGCATGTTGGCCAGCTTCATAGCTTGCGCTGACTTTACGTCCCGAAGGTCACCGCCATAGATATTCTCTTGCGAAGAACCGTGATGATCAAGCTTCATCAGATCAAGTCCATTGCCTAACTTGACAATAGAGCTTTTCTTGAGGAACTCGTTGATTACCTTTCTTTCCAGTTCTGGGAAACCGTCTCCACCAGCGTAGAAGCAGCATTGTCCGTCATTCTCAGGCCAGAATAGCACAGCTAGGATCGACGACTGATTTCTGTTGACACCCTGCTGAAATTTTGGTACTGAAATGCCGGAGCCATCTGCACCTATGATGCAGAAACGTGGACGTCTTTTATCCAGCACAGACGGTTCAAGCTTTCCATCGGTATTAAAGATCTTGACCCCTGAGAGCATATCAAGCCCGAGTGCTGACGCGCCCCCTGTCAACTTAAAGCCGAGTTTGGTCTGTTTCGTAGAATTTCTAATCAGCCGGAATTCGATATTGTACTTCAACGCCTGGTGGTATATATATCACTTACGACTTGCGAAGTGAACGGCTCTTCCAACCGCCCACAATACAACTTTGGATCCTTGACAAAGATTTCAGCCATCCGCGCCGTTGGCTTTGGGAGGGCCACCACCACCTCCTCCTTTTCCTCTTCAATCCCTCCCTTATTTTTCTTTTTCGTTTTCGTTGTCTTTTTCTGCTTCTTTGGTTTTTCGGTGAATTCCCCAATCAGTTCCATCATGCCACGAAAATGATCGGCATCCCAATGAGTCACCACCCACAAGTTGAACTGGATATTCTTTGTAATGCTGTAATGGGTCCCAAGATATTTATTCACGTAACCTAGCGCCAGGAGTATAGCTTCAGAAGCAGAATATTCGCCAGAGTCAACGCCGCCATCCATAATGAAGGCATATTCTACGGACTTTCGGTTCTTGATAAGGACGTGGATTGAGCAGTCCCCGAGAGGTACAGGGACCTGGAAATTCTCAACAATCCATTCCATGGTGGCGTGTGTATATTGACACGAGATCGATGTCTCGTCAAGAGAGCCGAAGGACTTTGAGAGTAACGGGTGCTCCAGCGAGCCCAGGCCTGCCCAGCTCGTAAGATAAATGTCCTGTCTGAGCATAAAATCAATAGTCGCAAAAGCCAACAAGGATTCGGACCCGCATTAGTGGAGGACTGGCCCGTATCTGACAAGTCAGTCTAGCTAACCGCAAACGCTCAGTGCGGCTGACCTGCACTAACTTGTTCAAGAGCCGGCGACTTCGTGTCACGGCTGAAAAAGGGTCTAGACCCAAAGCTTATGCACCTTGTTCAGGATTGAGCGGTTTGGCCGAGGTAATTCAGTTTGATGTTATGTACATTCTGGCTAATGCTCTTGTAGACTAGACTCAATATTGTTGTTCAGATGGATCAAGGCTCCACGTCACGCTTTACACTACAGCTACATATCTCGGATATTCTACTTGCCCCAAATCGGACCCAGTCTATCAATGAGATCCCCCTTGCCACCCCAGAAACCTTTGAGCCCCGTGCAGCCGTCATATGGCGCACATTCAATCACCTCATCACAAAGCTCTTCGGAGCCAACACTTGCCTTCCTACTCTTCGAAGTCTGCAGTTCAACAAATCCGACACCAGTCATACCTCCATGAGCATTCCCCTTGCCCAGCTTTACGAGATTGACAACTTCCCCCTCCTCTAGATCCAAGATCATGCTAGTCTGTGTCTCTCCGCTATTTGTGCCATGTGTCTGATGTGTTTGCTGGTACATCGTCCGCACCAGCTTCACTTTGCCATTGCCCCACACCCGTAGACGTATCTCAATGCTTTCCGGCCATGAGACAGGGAACATTGCCTTCTCAAGAACTATAGCATCGACGAAAAAACCTCCAGTTGGCTTGCCTACCGAGCGATCAAAGCGGTATTGCGAGTATTTCCTCTTGTTGTCTTCGTCATCCACAAAGGCTAGTTCCTGCTCGATGAGATGTTCCTTGATGCTGTCTGAGCATATGTCGGCGGCTGGTGCCTCCTTTTTTATCTCCTTTTCCTTTTCCTGTACCTTGTCCTGCACGTTCTTGACGCTGTCTTTCATCTCATTTTCAAGGTCACCCATGGCAGGAGGCTCAATCGTGTCTTGCGTTGGATCGTTATCACAGAACCCATTGACAATGCGAGCTGTTTGTGATGCAGAAAGTCCAGTGTCCACAACTGTGGATTCTATAAGAACTGGGAGTCTAAAAGCCCATACTTCAGGAGATTGCACCTCTTCAGTGATAAGCTCCGACGGGTTGCTGTTTCTGCAGGAAAAGATGTTAGTCGTGCGACCTGGTCAGTAAACGTAGTAGGATAGGGCGTAACTAACAGTTTGTCAATGATGCCGACAATCTTAGCCATCTCTTTCTTGATTGCCTGACGCTCAGTCACGAGTGCTTCGATGTTAATGTTGACAGGGTTATTGAAACGACTTGGCCCATATGCCAAAGGGTTAGCGATCACAGCCTGTATGCGACCCAGGTTACTCTTAAACTCCATGAAACTGTCAAGTAGATCATGCGTATACTGTTGAACGGGAGAAAAGTCAGGCACCGTGATGTTGTTCTCCTCTGCCCACTTGACAAAGCTGCGATTGCGATTGTAGGGGGTCAAAATTGCGTATGTTTTCTGGGGACAGGCTGCAACACGGCCCGGGAAAGCGGAGGCAGCACGAATTAGGGAGTCAAGAGTCCATTCGGCGTCGTCACTCTTGATTTGGCCTCCTCCAGACCAGTTAACGGTTATCGTGGATTCTGTCTCTTGGACTGCTGCTTCGATCGTAGAGGTGGCGGTTCCTTCGCTAAGCGTGAACTCCCCAGCAGATCCATTCATGGCACCTTTCAGCCTATTTCATGTTAGTACGGACACCATGCATACTCCTGCATGAGGCTCACGCTGTCTCAACGTTGCTCTTCTTAGAAGCGTCAAGGACTTTCATAGACACGATTCCATGTAGATCACCGCCTTCCATGAAACCTATATTGCTCGTTATTAACATGCTCGAACAAAATAGATTTGTCTTGAGATACCTGATATATAGCTATCGCCATAGATTTTGAAGAATCTTTCACTCGTCATCTTTTGAGGCGGGTCCGACGGATTCTTGGACTTCTCCAACGGCAGGCTGGTATTTTGGTTAGCAGAAGCCTATTGACAATCCTAGAAGTTACTGACAAAGTAGGGTTTTGAACAGCGGTTGTAATCTCTGTGGGAAAGTTAGCTACCTGCCAAAGGCACCTCACTCGGAGATATAACAAGCCTTACGATTGATAACTTTGACGGAGATTACAGCGTTCATATCACTGCCTGCAAATTTTGCCTCGTCGATACTGAGGGAGTTTCCAGAGACCTCGATAGTTCCTAATTTGATGGATGAAGCTGCACTGATATTCATGCTCCTGACAACATCTGAGATCTTCTCGACGAAACGTGAACTGTATGAGACAACCTGCGAGACATTCGAAGGACCTCCTGCGCGTGCAGCTTGGGTCTGAAGGTCGGCTTGAGTGAGCTTCACAGCCCCATCTATGCAGGGCCGCTGCAGAAAGGAATTGAATCCTTGACCCAAGTGCATGGAGTCATTGTATGGGGCGAGAAGAACGTAGCCCATGATTAGCAATGATCTATCGGTGGTGAATAGTGAACTTGAGTGCGATTGAAGTTGCAAGTTCTGGAGAAGACCAGGGAATGAACTTCGTTGTAGAGCGAGTAAAAGATTCCGAGATGTTTACGCATGTTCGTTCCGCTATGGACCGAAGTGGGATGCCCGTGATGGTAATCCCTGGAGATGCATCAATAGTGTATCAATAGTGCGTGGCCTAGACCTTTCTGGTGGGGATGACCCGCTGTGCTACAGCGCGTATATGCATGGTCTAGCACCATTCGGCCTGCCAAAACAACTGATAAAGGTTAGTTTTATGAAGGACAATGCCCAATCATTCAGCTGATTCGCGTTCATCTTGAGGGCGAGTTATTCTTGTGTCCCTATCGTTCTTTGCGAGATCGTCTGTTGTTTGAGTTACTGAGACTTCACACAGCGCTCTCATACACTGTATATCTTTGCCCAAGACTTTGCCTACCAGCACCCATTTTATCTTATTTGTTTACAAATCCAGAGTCCCATCAATTCCGACACGCGAATCTTTGATCAAATCATAATGTCTGCAGAGCCGCCAAAAGAAGCAAAGGAAGATGTATTCGTCAAAGTGTACAGTCTCACCACAGCACCCAAACAGGGTCAAGACGGCGATACGTCTGTTGCTATCGGCCGCATGGCTGTAACGACTCTCAAATTCGCAGAGTTGGTTTTTCCAGTGACAAGTCAAGACCTGAGCTAATCAGAAAATAGCGAGGCTTCAACATTCCAGTCCCGTATCACGCTGGCTGAAATAAGAACCAAGATAAACGAAGCTCTGAGCAGTGAACAGACGTTCAAGTTTTGCGCCGACGATTATTCCCTCGTTCCTGAAGATGTCACCCTCGAGACATACAAGAAGATGATGCGTAGTAGTGCCATGCGCGAAGCCAAAATCCCTACTGTTTTGATCGCCCCAACCTCTGAACCTGCTTCTAGCCAAAGCGCTGCTCTGAAGGATTCATTTATCATGAAGTTTATTCAAGTTGGGGATAACCCTGAAAATGCTAAAAATGTCGGATCGCTTCATGCATCGGCTTTCAAAGGCAAGGATCCATCAACAATGCTCTTGGGAGAGTTGCGACGCCTGATCGGGAAGATGTGAGATGACTTTAAATATGGAGCATGGGAAGACTGAGTCTTTAGCTAACTGTTAATCAGGTCCGCAGATCCAAAAATGCACACGTTCTGTTCTCTCGATGGCACAGCAGCTGGAGATGAATTGACCTTGCAGAAGTACCTCGCTCTGGATGTAAGTGACGGATGGCCGCCATTTCCTTGATTTAGTCTGATTTAATATGCTCATCATGGGATAGAATGCAAAGGTTGACCCATCTGACGGCACACCAGCTATACTAATACGCTATCGAAGTAGTGATGCAAAGGTCTCTGCCGCTGCTTCTAAATTCCATGGTGCTAGCCAAGATGTCTTGCAGGCTATGGAACAAATGAAGCCTGACCTCAGCTTCAAAGACAGATCGGCAGAGGAGATGCATGCCGATACGACAGCTCTGCAGGTCCAGGAAAATCTACGTGCTTCTGACATCGCTGCACGCGAGGCATCCCCACTCAAGTAAGCAGTTATTATCACAGATACTTACGCTATGCTAATCGAGGTAAAGATACACGAGTCAAATGGACGAAGCCGATTGGGACTCGGTGCTAAGGAACTGTTGCCTATTATATGGCTGGAAAGTCGATAAGGGGACAAAAAGGATTGTGCGAGCCACCACCCCGGCCTTCCGACTTAGAAACAAGCTGCCACCGAGACCGATAGCCTTTCCTGCTCCTGCTATTCAACAGCCAGTGATATCTCCAGAAACCTCAACCGAGACATCTGTAGCATCAACACCCGGCACTGACAAGTCCCCGGATACTTCGGGAGACGCCTCGGCTGAAGGACAAGAAACTGAGGGAGCCGTCAAAACCGAGAAACCAACAATCACAGAGAATTCTGAAGCAGCTGTCGACATAGACAAGCCACTCACCGCAGAAGATGTGGAGGCGCCCATTCCAACAAAGCTCGGGGCAATTCCATCATATGCAATCAATGACAGATCTAGAATCGAGATAACGATGGTCAGCAACGAGTTCCAGGAATCAATGGCCAGAAATCATTTCAGTGCGTCTTCGGTGGAAGCTTCTGCGTAAGTCACTCTCAGACGCATTGTGAATTGTGTGCAACTCTTGCTGAAATGAGTCTCCAGTTCTGGAGGCTGGAGTGGCTACTCAGTAGGTGTCACAGGCGGCGCTGCCCAAGAAAACACTTCTGGTGGAACGAAGACCCAAAAGGGTTATGCAAAACGAATGTTTGGAAGCTACATGTTCCCTCGCGTTGATGTCTTCCTGAGACCAGAAGATCTAGAGCCAACTGAGGAGCTTCGTGCAGCTCTTGACGGTATCAAGCAGACCAAGAACGTAAGTAGTAAGATCACGCCAAGGATTGATACTAAAAGATAGCAGATTAACGCTCTCCGAGAGCTTTATAGTACCTTTGGACACCTTTTCTGTCATTCAGTCACTCTTGGAGGCTGCCTCCAGACGACCAAGGTTGTTGAGAGTGATGAAGCTGTCCAGCAGAGCAAAGATAAGCAGTCCTTCAAAGCACAACTGGGAGTTGCTGTTTCCACTGTAGGTCTCACATCTGAATTTCTACTGTCGAGCTAATCATGTGTGATTGTAGCCATTCGGGGCCAAAGGAAACGTCAAAGGGTCCAAGGAGAGCCAAGACGGTGGAGAAAGTCACAGCAGAAGTGCGAAAGCGAACGAGAGTATGGGATTTGAGGCTACTGGCGGAAACTCCATCCTCGCAGCAGAGTGAGTTGAGGACTGTCTTGGGAATGCGAGCTTACTAATTGTTGGTTGGCAGCCCACCGGCCTGGAGTGGCTCTGTCGCAAACTTCAACAACTGGCGTATCATTGAGCAGACTGAACTGACACCGATTGTTGACGCTATCTCAAAGATGACCGGATATCGCGAAACTAGGTCCTGGTTCTTTGCTGCGGCACCTAAGCTCAGTGAATACATGGTCATTCCCGAATCGAGGATGCTGCATGTCCGGTTCAAGGTTGCCAGCCAGAACGAGAGTTTTGGCGTCATATCTCAGAAGAAGGTATGCTATACTTACTGACCAGATGCAGTCACTTACTAATCCTGGTATAGATACCGGCTTATCTTGGACATCGCCCAAACGAGTCGGTAACACCAGTTCGCACGAATCTTAGAGTCCCAGATCAACCCCCGAAGGAAGCATTCCGGAACGGACCATTCGGGCTTATTGGCGACATGACCAAGATTACGGCTCAGAACCCTGGTGCTTCTACTACTCCACTATTTGAGCCAAACAGGTCCGTCTGCATGAATCTACTATAACTTCCAATGCCTAATATTCTGAACCTATAGGACTCAAACACCAATCTTGATGTTTCCGTCCGGAGCAGAGCTTGGTAAATGCAGCGCCGTCTTGTGTTGAGAACCGGCTGACCTCTTCAGGGACCAAAACAGATAATGCATTCAGTCATGTAGTATGGCGGTTAGAGATCGCTAGAGGGCATAGCGTAAGCAAAATCTAAGATCCATGCCCTTTCTATGTGTGACTGCTGAGTCAGACTAATTCGTGCTCAGATCGGCCCTGATACGCTACTATGCATCAAATCAGCTGCATTGCCGAAGGCTGATCTAGCCTTAACGGTATACCGTAATGCGCAAGGAGTGTATCTTCCGTCCATCAGCAGCACAGACGAACCCTGCTACTGGAGACTGGAACCCGCCGAAACTTCCGGAATATCCAGAATGAAAGGCGATCGTTACAAATTCGGCGACTCCTTCAGACTTACCTGGTCATTCTCCGATCAAACAAGCGGTTTCCGCGACTTTGTTGATGATTCGTATGGTCGACGCAACTTGACTCGGCCGTCTGATATCAAGAGCGATAAGTTATGCTTGAAGGTTCCCTTCCCACGGTTCGAAAGCATGTCATCAGATTATATGGCAGTACTCATGTCGCCTGCCTTGACAACGGATCCGATAATTGAGAAGATCAAGGTCCTCGATGGATTCAACCAAGAAAAGACTTACAACTTTCATGATCTGACGTTTCGGGTTGATCTAGTTGGTAATGATGGCAACGGCGATAAGAATGACTACGCAAATCTTGCGGCCACGACCTGGGAGGAGTTAGACAAGAAGCTAACGCCGGGAGAAAAGTTGTTGGGAAACATACTTGGACCTTCTCCGATGGTTATTGATGGCGTTTTGGGGGGTATGGAGTTTACTCGCTGGTGAGCCTTATGGCTGATAACTCAAGTCAGCACAGAAAGCTTGGTAGATATATACTGTACTTGTTGGTTGCATCGGGAAGGGATTAATGTTACTCCTCTTATCTCTGCGTGCTGAACAACGTCAATCCGCTCTGACTCGGCCAGTCGAATTAGTCTGGCCGCAGAACGGGACATGCACATGCAGCGGATGGAGCCGCGTGATTGGCGATACAAAGTGCGACGTGCAGAAAAGGTGGTCAGCATCTGCCCATTTCGACATCCTGATGGCCTCAATCCGGGGTTCACGGCAGTTTTTTACCCAAACATGTTCACTATTTCCCAGCAGTCCTTGAAGAACCTCTGGTTTCTTCTTGTCTCTGGAGCATTCGATTCCCTCATTCATCGAAACCTAGCATAGCATTTCAAGCTTCTTAGTCAACCCCAGACATCGGCAGACTTTATCCCTCACTGTAACCTGACCAAGTCATGCACATGATCACGCTCGCATTTCGGTTGCACCCAACCCGCCCGTTTCCGGTTCTAGTGTCCAACAAAGATATCACGCCACCAATGATGTTGTTGGAGAATGCGTCGCTCAACGTTGTACTTCTGCAGCGGAACGCAACACGGGCAATGAAGATACATTATTGACAGCGGGAGTGAACAGCCCAATAGCAGATGCATTTCCCTCGCAAGGCATTCTTCGTCCACGTCAGTCATTTGCGACCTAACGAAAACGAGGCAACCTAAGCAGAGCCTCATCAGGTTTTAACTTGTGGATTCGGGGCCCAGATCAAGATAAGCTCGCGGATCCTCGATTTAATACTCAATCTCGAACGGTTCTTATTTATTGTGAGATATTCACTGGATCTTTCTCTCATCTTTGTTTGTCTTTGACGTGATTGGCCTAGTCACCATGTCGACACCCCCGCCATCAGATGACGCAGAGGGTCACCCCCCAGAAGAGACACCACATGACGAGGAGGAAGCTAAGAGCGCGTCACCAAGCAAGAAAGAAGCCAAGCAACCCAAAACATCAAACCGTGGACATAAACTTCGGCATAAAAAGCCTACACATTATCGAACACATACCAACGACTTCCCTTCGCAGGCGCCTGGCGATCCGGTAATGAGGCAGGCGATGCGCTACGGCATCGATCCCAGCACATATCTTCCTCCGCCGCCGGGTGCATATCCAGCAAATACAAACGCGTCTTATTACCCATCACCAAATGTCCCGCCGCCAGCTGGCTATACCAGCCCTTATACATATCCTGGAGGCGGAGGATATTTCTCTACCCCACGAGTAACTGTCCGAGATCCCCAGTACTTCACCCCACCTGGATACGATGTGCCACCGTCCGTATACTCTGACCCTGGATACGCTCCCTCCGATTCTTACGGGTATGAGGAGGAGATCCCACCGTATCCTGAGTACCCAGTGCGGGAGCCGAAAAGAGTTCCAGTTCGGCCGAAACCCTTGCGACAACCGAAACCACAGACCGAGCCTAACCTGAGTAGCCTTCGAAGGGATGTGGCATACCAGAGGCCTCGCCAGAAGCGACCGTCTATACCCACAATGGAGAGATCATCGTCAGAAGAAGGTATAACTATGCAAGACATCATGGCTGAACTCAGAAACCTCCAACGTCAGGTGTACCAAGCCGACATACAATCCGACCCAGGGAGGATCCAAGGCCGTCCACGGCGAAGCCCATCAGTCACAAGCCAGTATACCAGTGATGACACGAGATCCCTGAACATAGAAAGGGAAAGGTCTCGTCAACTCACAAGTATCATCTACCGGCTGCTCGAAGATAGACAAAGACCGGAATATCAAGACTCATTAGGGCTCTCGTCGAGGCAAACAATGATGGATCTTCTTCAGGGCAGGGCAAGGGAACATGATGGAGAGATGGCGCTGGTCAGTCAGCAGGACGCACAGGAGATACGGTCAAAACTCGATACTATCCTGGAGTATCTTCAGCTTGAGGACGGATTGGAGTATGAGCCAGCACCGCAGCGACTTCGCGATGCCTACGAAAGCAGGCCACAACCCTTGGTCTTGAGAGGTCAGCCATCTATTGCCTCAGGCTCCTCAGTACAAACACCATCATCGCCTACTGTAATTCGAGCAGCGCCACGTCGTCGTCAGAATCTTCCATCCATCATCAGACCACCACAAGATCCACAGTCATCGAACCAAGGACGTACCCGACAGGTTCCATCCAGGCTAGATGCCGACGACGAGATGTACGAAGACCCTCGACGTCCTGCACGTACAAGAGTCAGCTCAACACAGAGTGTTGCATCTCAGGATAGGAGAAGGCTACAAACATCGGTTATCCAAAGGAGTGATGCTCGGCCACCGGAGAGGAAGATTGTAGAAGGCGATCAACAGAAGGTCAGACCTGGTCGGTTTGCGTATGTCCAGACGGAAGATGAAGAAGATGAAGAACCCGCTCGAGCGCCTGTGCCGCCGTACCCAGTGCCCGATCCGCCTGGACAACCGAGACGGAGAAAGTCTGCAAGATCTGTAAGATTTGATTAAGGTTTTTCTATTTTCACTTATTGTATTTACGAGTATAAAGATATGGACTGGACGGTGTATTCCCAACCCCCTGTCGCCAGGGTGAGCTACGATACCCTGCTGTACATAATGGCTATGTCAACGGGCGTTTGCATACACTGCCCGGTTTCTGCATGCTTTGCATGTGATTTAGCCCAATCTTAAATTTAACTATCCTTTACTGCTGCGTTTATCGTAGTTGTCTCCTCCTTGGCCATGTATTTAGCTTAGACTAATCTGCTCCAACCTAGCTAAGATGAATTCCTCATACGATACTCGCCAAGGCGACGAACAGGATTCTGCCCTTAACAGTTCTAAGAAACGTGAAGCTGATAAACCTAAGGGCCGGCCACAGCTTCCAACCCGCCACTAGGTGAAGGAAAAAGTCCTTGTACGATGTGTTGATAATGAATAACTAGTCAATGCTCGCATAATCAATCTTATACCCTGAACTAACTGAAGGAACCACTACTAACTTCCAATACATACAAAGAAACATAATAGAAAGGCGTTGACAGCTGCGCCAATTGTTTGGTCCAGTATGGTCTTGATAAGTGCGTTGGGCACGTTGAGCTTATTGTTGACAGTATGACCATCTATGGCCCTAACTGCGGCCTGAGGTTAAGCATTAGGCTATAAAAACAGATGATAAGTAATAATAAAGTGTCATTTTTCCTAATATAAGCTTTTAAAATAACTAATAAATCTTGCTGTAAGCCATAGGGCATTGTAAAGGGAAGAGACCAAAAGGCATGTAAAGGGGAATCTTAGTATACTCGGGTCACTCACCATCTTCTTCATTGGTCTAAAGGGCCGTTAAATTAGTAGGTGGAGCAAGATGGGAAAGATTATTTTACCATGATCACTACCTTAGGTCGTCCGCTGGGAAGGAGAAGATACTTGATTCGTAACGTGCAGTGTTTGGCAGCTGAAGGCTCTACTGGGGCTCCGGCGTCGGAATTCCCAATCACGGATATACGCGGAGATGACGTCGTAAAATTGTCAAGCTATGATCGTGCACCGGGGGAATAGGGCGCCTGTGACAGAGGCGTGACGGGGTCAGCTGTGCCATGATCCGTAGACTGCCGACGTATGTGACCTTTTGGCCAACCAGGTTTACGAACTTCGGTGCGAGGAAAAGCGGCAATCTTCCGGTCTCCTCTGCTAGGTACGAGTAGGGTCAGATGGCATCTTGGCAAAGGCGAAGAAGCTCCACTTACACAACAGTTGATGCATATTGTATCCGGCTCGAGTTACTATGTAACGGTGACGATGAGTAGGGCCTAAGCTGAGGCTGCTGGATGACGAACTGATGCATCTAACCTTGCGAGCTCGACAGCCGTTGCAGGAATTGAGGAACATCTACTGATTATACTCTGGCTGTCCCATTCCTTGGGGTTCAGTGTCCATATCGTGAGAGAAACGGGCAAGCTAGTCCAAGACAAGATGGTTTAGGGGCACCACAGCAGTGTCACTGAAGAATTATACTTGGCATAAAAAGATCGTCGTTGTTGGTAGTTATCACCTAGCTCAGATCGAAGCAGGCATGCATGCATCCCCGCATTTGGATGTATCGTCTGCTTGATTGGACTGTGCTAGTATTCGGGGCCGTCGAGTAGATGTTACTTCGCTGGTCACTGTACCAACCAAGATCACCACTCCGCAAAGCCATCAACATCTGCGACAGGTGTGAAATTAGGTTAAGCCGGTACCGCCATCCACGATTACAAATAAATGTCATACTGCTCTATAATACAATACATCCAGTACTACTAAAGAGATCCATCCAACCACGCTTCCTTGTGCAGGGCTGTACGGTCATTATGTTCCATTTATAGCCGTGAATCTTGCACCCTAATGTAGATGCTTACAACCATTAGCTAAAGATCATGTGGTTAGGCGGTCCTCTGAATGCCTGTACCTTTGCAGATAAGCATGGCAGGGTAAGCTTATACCACGCCGCCACGCCGCAGCCATGAGTTACAATAAGCTTTAGTAATCGGCGACTATTTATAACAGAACATAGAAATAACTGGCTGATCGAATTTGTAAAACTTGAGATGCTGTGTAACCGTTACTTCTCCTCATTTTCGGATCCCGTTTCTTGGTCTAATTTCTTACTCATCTTGTTATGTCCTCTCTGGGCTGGCGCTGAGTGAGACTACCCTAGTAGGAGGATCCTACGCAAAGATGTATAAATTGAACAGATTCTTGACTTTGGTCTTGGCGAGTACGTCTTGTTAAGCACTAGCCAAGATGAGAACTTTTCATACACCTCTTACTATCATCGAAACGCTCGCCAAGTCTCATGGGGATGCTGCGGCAGTGAGATATCTGTTGCCAGAATCGCCTACTGACTACAAGACTATCACATATGCTGAATACTGTAATGATGTTGAAAATGCGGCGAAAGCGTGGTTGTATGTTTTATCACAGGCTGGCATTGCGAAAGGTGCCGTAGTGGGAATTTGGTAGGTCATTTGTCTCCGCAGCCACGCCTATCTGACATCTGGCAGGATGAGAGGATGGTCATACCAGGATCTCTTACACTATCTGTCTCTTCAAAGAGCCGGCTTCATCCCGCAACTTTTCTCACTTCGCATGACGAACCCATCGGTAGTCTATGAACTCCTGGGCAAGAGCAACGCTGCTGCATTGATCCATGATGCTGGCTGTGAATCTTTGGTAAAAGACTGCCCGCTTCCAACATTTCTCAGCGAAAGGGACCAAGAAAAAGCTGCGCCGCACAATGTTGAGCTTGAAAAAGCGACTACTGCTTTAAACGGCGATAAAGTCTCGGCCATATTTCACACCTCAGGCTCAACTTCAGGAATTCCCAAACTGGTTCCAGCTACTGTAAAATGGATGGACTGCTTGATTCGTAAGAACAAGCCATATACTCGCACCGGACCGCAGCCTGTGTACTGCCTCATGTCAGTTCTCTCGCAGCGTCTCGTGTTCCAAAGCTGATCCGTTACAGGGGTTCTCATGCCCATGTAGGCAACACCATCAATCTTACAGAAGCACTAGCTAACGCAGGCTGTTTGATTATGCCCAAGAGTATTCCCTATCCTACTTCTGAGTTGCAGAGTATGATTACCCACGGTAGATTAACGGCCTTCAACATCTTCCCAGCTCTTCTTTCTGTCTTCATCCGGGAAGCACGCACCAACAACGTCTTACTTGAGCAACTTCAGAGTTTGCACCACATCCTTCATGCTGGACAAGTTCTGGAGCCGTCGGATCAAGCGTGGGCTCATGAACAAGGGATTAAGCTTGTCAATACCTACGGTTCTACAGAGATTGGGCTATCGATGCAAGCATCTGCCACTTCTCAACACCTCACTCCATTTCCAGAGTCAGGTTGTGAATTTATTCCTCTTTGCGGAACTTCATCTTCGTCGGAACAACTTGTTGAGCTTGTCATACCCGCAGATGCAGATGACTGTCCTCATCCATCACTCAGAGATAAGGCGGATGGCAAGTTCCATACTGGTGACCTCTTCCAACGCGTTGGAGAGAATCAGTACTTATACAAAGGACGAGTGGATGACAGAATCAAGATGCAGTTGTCTTTGGTGTGTGACGCTGGATCACTGGAGGCAGAAGCGATGCAAGTCTGCAAGGTTGATCTGATCTCCGCTGTATCCGTCATTGGATCTGGACGTCCCAGTCCAGCCATTATTGTCGAGCCCAAGAATGACGATATATTAGAAACAGGCGATGACGATTTGGCAATGTTCAAGGAAGAAATACTGCGCAGGATATCGCCGTTTCATGCGCGAAAGTATCTCCATGAGCGAATTGACAACCCGCGCTTGGTCTTTGTTGTACCCCAGGGGACACTGCCACGAACAGCAAAAGGAAATATTATGAGGAAGGCGGTAGAAAACATGTTCTCTGATAAACTAGAGAAGAGCTTTGTGGCCATTTCGTCTACGTAACGCCTCCATGGTGATGGTTATGGAATCACGGACAATGGGATCGAAGAAGGTAGCACAGGATTCAGGAATTATTCTCAATTACTGCACAAACACAAATAAAATTACTAGTGCAGATTCATGACGACCTTTGTCTCACTGCATATCATTTCTGCGAGGATCGTTGCTGTAAGACGTACGTCATTGACTCAGTGGAGTGGTGATTCATAGCTTTCCAAGCCACTATATGAGAAGAACTGAACAGCATGAAATCCATATTGCACTTTCCTTTCATTTATAACTCAGATGAAAACTCTAAATCTCACAATAGGAAAAAGAATATTTACAGGGTTATTATACCACAGTCACCAATCATCTTTAACAAGAATTGCGTTTGCTTATCAAAGCAAAAGCAACTTCTTCTATAGAAGAACTCAGATCAGCACCATGTCTTCCATCGTAGACAGCGTCAAGGTATTAGATCATGCTCCCTATCTATCGTCAGTAATTGACTTGTTAGAACACCATCGCCGAAAACTTCGGTGGTCCAGCTGAAAAGCTCGCAACCCACCAATTCTCCCTCTCCGAAACCCCCGACCTCACCAACAAAGTCGCCGTCGTCACTGGCGGCAGCGAAGGCATCGGTTACGGCGTAACTCACACTCTCCTCTCCCACAACATAAGCAAGCTCTTCATTCTCTCCATTTCCGAAGAAGTCGTCAATGGCGCCAAGAAATCCGTTGCTGAAGAACTCGGCCAAGAGAAAGCTAATCGCACAGAATGGATCCAGTGCGATCTGAGCGACTGGGCTGCAGTGAAGAAAGCCGCGGAGCAGATCAAGAAATCTACTGATCGCTTGGATATTCTTGTTAATAATGCTGGAAGGGGAATCATGACGTACCAGCTCTCAAAGTATGGTGTTGATCAGCACATGGCTGTGAACCACTTCGGTCATGTTCTTCTGACTTCCTATTTGCTTGAGCTTTTGAAGAAGACGGCTGATGAGCATGGGACTGTGAGGATTGTCAATCTTGCTTCTAATGCTCATCAGGGAGCACCTAGCGATGTTAAGTTTGAGAGCCTTGATGAGCTGAACCAGGATCTTGGACCGAATCCTCAGTATGGACGATCAAAGCTGGCCGCTATTCTGTATAGTCGGTATTTGGACCGTCATGTCACCATGGCCGGAAACCCCAAGATCTTGGTAAATGCTACTCATCCTGGATTTGTCAGTACCAGGCAGAGCGTTGAGCATATCCACGAAGCGTGAGTTTATAATCTCTTTTTTTTAATCCTCGCTAACACATGTTAGGTATCCTCTCGCTGGCTACGCCATGTCAATTGGCATGGAACCTTTTAAGAAGGATCAATTCCAGGGCGCCACTAGCTCAGTATTTGCCGCGACCCTTACCGACAAGTCTGGACAGTATATCTGTCCTCCTGCTGTGCCAGAGTTGGGCAATGAGCTTTCGCAGAATGAGCAGCTTGGTGAGCAATTGATGGAGTTGACGAGGAAGGTCATTAGCGACAAGTTGGAGAGTTTTGATGATCGGAAGTTTTATTAGACATGTTTTCTAGATGACGGGTCGTGACTTGCATTAGATAAATGTAAAATACAATATTATATACTCACTTTCTAAGAGTCCGAAAATAACACAGTAACTTTAGGAACTCTATCTATATTAGCTTGCTTGTTTATAAGAACAAAGCTGTTTACTTTTTTAAACAGTTTTTATAATTATATAACTAACCTTTTTAAAGTTATACTTAAAAAGCTAAAGTAAAAACCTAATATTTACTCTTTATTTTACTAGCCTTAAGCATACGTGTAGTTTTAAGTCTGGATTAATAATACTAGGATGCTATTTAGTTCCGTACCCTGGAGAGGTTTTACATGGTTTACATGGTTTAGTTCTGTCTCAAGCTTACGTCAGGTCCATATTCTCAGATTACAGTTAAATTGATCATCGATCTTAATTGGCACGGTCCTATAGTCTAGTGGTCATGACGTTGGATTTTGATCACCCTCAAAGTCTTCCAAAGACCCCGGTTCGAACCCGGGTAGGACCTCATTTTTTCCCTCCCTTATCATCGAGTCGTCATCACTTTTTGCTCAATCCCACTTCTCTCCCTAAACCAATGACGCGTCGCCATCCCCGTCACATCATCAAGGGTCCCCAACCCCAGCTTTTCAAAGTCATCAAGTGGAACCCACCCGCACCAACCAGCATCTTCAGCCCATCGACGCGATGCTCATAGCAGCCTAGCCTCACGTCACCAGACCATTCGCGCGCCCCCTTCTCCGCATTTTCCTCATTGGTTCCCCATGTTCTGTTTCTCTTCACTCCTGAAAAAACAAAGATCACCAAGTTTCTCGCCCATGGTATCGACATGATGCTGCTCGGCATGGGCTGGCAGAAGCCTGGTAACTTTGCCGGTTCGTCGAGTTGGGCTATTACGATTGGGCTGTTTGTTGCGTCGGGGGGTTTGTTGTTTGGCTATGATCTGGGGTGAGTCAGTTTAAATGTCTCGTTGGAGTCTGCGGCGCGGTGAGCAGCCTGCATGCGACAGCGCTATTCTCCCTTGTGTTCTTTTTTATCGCCTGATGAATGTTGCGCTGCGCGTTGTGTTCGCTTGTCGCGAGATAGCCTCAAAGGTCTCTCCTTGTTGACATTGATCGGCAACACTTTGGCTCCGACTAACCTCATCTCACTCATAGCGTCATCAACGGCATCCTCGCCATGTCCGTCTTCAAAGACCACTTCAGCACGAATCAATCCTGCAAAGACGACGAGGGCCACATCGATCTCTGTCCCGCAGACTCATCGCTCATCGTCGCCATTCTTAGCGGTGGAGCCGTCATCGGCGCTTTGGCAGCAGCTCCATCTGGTGACAGCATCGGGCGGCGTAAGACATTGCTCGCGGCTGTCACTACATTTTGTGTCGGGGCCATCTTTCAAATATGCGCTCGAGCGACGCCGATGTTATTAGTCGGGAGGTACGTTATTTATCCTTGATACCTCGTGATTTATTCTCACGGCAAAAGGTTACTTGCTGGCGTTGCAGTCGGAGCTATTTCCGTTCTCGTCCCTCTTTATCAGTCCGAGACTGCGCCGAAATGGATACGCGGGACCATCATATGCATGTATCAGTTCTCCATCACGGTGGGGATATTAACCGCGACTACTATCAACGTCGGCACATCCAATATCGACAGCGATGCAGCATATCGAATCCCTCTTGGCATACAACTCGTACCCGGCCTCATCCTCGCGTCTGGTATTCTTTACCTCCCCGAGACTCCTCGGTTTCTCGTCAAGAAAGATCGATTGCCAGAGGCAGAATTATCTCTAAGTCGTTTTCGCAGATTGGATAAGACGCATCCCGCTCTGGTGGATGAGCTTCATGAGATTATTGCAAATCATCAGTATGAACTAACACTGGGTCACGACACATACAAAGCTCTCTTCGCAAGAAACTCCTCTCTTGGCCGCCGAACCATGACAGGCTGTGGGCTCCAGATGCTGCAACAACTAACTGGTATCAACTTCGTTATGTATTATGGCACCACCTTCTTTAGCAACGCCGGGGTCCACAAGCCCTTTCTCACCAACCTAGCCATGATCATCATCAACTGCGTTTGCACAGTGCCTGGTCTCATCGTCATCGAATCATGGGGAAGACGAAAGCTCCTCATGGCTGGCGCTCTAGGCATGGGCGTTTCTCAGTTGCTGATAGCAGCTGTGTACTCGGCAACTGAGGATAAGATGGAAAAATCTAATGGAGGGGCCGCTAACATAGTCCTTGTCGTCTTTTGTGCCCTCAACGTGTTTTTCTACGCAGCGTCCTGGGGACCTGTTGCGTGGGTCGTGACTTCAGAGATCTTTCCACTAAAAGTGCGCGCAAAAGCCATGTCTGTATCAACGACAGCAAACTGGCTTTTGAACTTTGGAGTTGCATACGCACCACCATATATCCTCGGCAGAGGCGCAAACGCATTCGGGCTCAAGATCTTCTTCATCTGGGGATCATGTTGTCTCCTTTCCATTGCTTTCGTATGGTTGATGGTATACGAAACTAGCAAGATGACACTAGAGCAGATTGACGAGATGTACGAAAGAGTGAGTTATGCATGGGAGAGTCCAGGGTTCAACCCTACTTGGAGCTTTCAACAGATGCAGAATGCGGGATGGGACGCGAATGCGCAGCCAGAGCAACAGGCTGGCGATGAACATTCAACATCGAATGTCAACTCGACGGACGACGAGAGTCATGAAACGGCGCCGATAAGGCCGGATAATTCACACGGATCGACGACTCGGATGGTGAATTTGGATTTTAGTTACTAATTAATCTGTGTTTACATTCCTTGCCGCCGAATTCAGTCATAATGTGAAACCGCCATTGGCCGAGCTTGCCAATGCAACATGGAACTCGACCGAATTCTTGGATGCTTACAGCACGACCCTAGAAACAGGCAGGATCCATCACATGTCCAACAACAAGTCCTTAGCAAACAGGCAAACTTGCATGCCAGCTGACGTTTCACAAGAAGCCCCCTCAGATAACAATGCCCAGCCTAAAACGGCTGCATAAACCTCCGTCTGACAGCGGAGGGTTCCTCGGAATAAGCAACCGTGCCATCATAGTAGGCATCTGTAACTTTCTAGATGCGTCGGGACCCTTACGTGTCTTACGAATTACCTTTCGATTTGTATCAATACAGAACCCTGCTGAGCTTTGTAGACTCCACCACAACTGGCCCAATCAACTCGGATCTCACACATTCCGACACGTAGGATAGGCTATCACAAACCTAACGCCGAGCCCGAAGCGCGAGCTTACTACGATCTGAGACAGTGGCCTCCAACCGCATTCCAATCCAGTCTCTTCCAGAACAATCGTACCGTTGGCCAATCAACATTCCGACGACCGCAACCGTCTGTGACATTCTAATTCGGCAGATAAACGATGTGGCTGAAACCTGAGCGATGATCTTCCGATTCTTGGCATTCCATGATGTTTGTGGCTTGGCTATGTCGGGAACCAGAACGGGCATCAGCTCATGGGCTGATTCTAGATGGGGCTTGCCGGGCCGGGTGGTGACATTTTCAACACCATCGTGTAGGGCTGGAGGTTGAGGTCTGGTCCGTCGGGGGAGCGGCTCCGTCGCGGCTCCGTCGCGGCTCTGGACTTTTCTAGACATCAGCAGAAGGGGCTAAGGATTCTTGATGGGATATGCAGGGCTGACCTTGGCGCATGGGTGATACCAGCTGAACACCATCACGACATGGCTTCTAGAACAAATTATTGGAAAAGAGATGTGGATTGAATTGGTGAGTTGGCATTACTCACGATAGGGTATACCTCGCGCCGCTATCTAAGCCTAGATCTAAGCTTGAACGTCAATACAGACTCGTAACCATAATCAACCATTGATTCTCCATAGCATACATGTAACAAATTACCCGAGAACGTAATACCATCTAAAATACCCAAAGAATACTCCATAGTCTCATCTTCCCTTTGCCTTCAATCCCGTCATTGATGCCGAACTCCTAATAGAACTTGCAGGTGTATTCGAGAACACAGGCCGACATTCTTCTAATTTCTGCCGACGATCAAACTCCTTAAGAAAAGTGTACACACTGCCGAGGGGCATGTATTCTAGTAAAGGTCGTAATTCGCTGGGGAACATTTCCGCTCCGTGATCTTTAATATCCTCGTTGACGCGATTGAGGCGAAGAATCTGCATCCAAGACACAATGCCATCACCAACCATGAACGTCGGAAACTGCGCCTGGGCAATATCTTCCAGAATCCACGTATTACGAAAATATGGCCTGTTCAAGAAGCCAGAGATGGCTCTGTAGCTGGGTACTTCCGTCGGGTCCGTGATCCCCTCAGGAATGTCGCTGAGATGAGCCACGGGCCCCATCCACTGCAGAATCGGCGCGTAGTTCGCTGGGTTCGCCTCACGATCCCCTGGTTCTCCAAAATTCTCCGGCATGCACTTATCCCACGCCCGTATAATCTCAACCGCAAGATCAGACGTCGCATCCTTCGTTCCCAACCATCCAACAACAAGCTTCGCCTCACGGTACGCACGAGCCATGTGCGCACGTCGCTCAGCCTCTTCTTTCCTGTCGCGCCTGTTGATGCATAATAGATCGATCCAGATCCGTAGCGGAGGTTTGTCGCATCTCGCGGAGCCCGGGTCTACGAGTTTGCGGAGGAATGAGCGGAGCCATCCGGGGGGTTTCTTTGTCGGCGATGGTGGTGGGGAGGATGGTTGTTGTTCCTGTTGGTGATTACTGATTGTTCGTTGTGTCTCAAGATCGACCCTTGAGGAGGAGGCGTTATTGATGACGGTCTGGGCGCGGGGGCCGAGGAAGACTTCGCGGGTGTAGCGGATTGCTTCGGCGAGGTCGGACGGTATGGCTACTTTTTGGCCGTTAAGCAGAATGGGCTCGGTTTTGGTGATGTCGCCGTACAGAGCGGAAAGGCCAATGAAATCAGGCGCATCGCATAGTTTCTCGTGGACCAGTCGACACACGATTCGGTCGTTGATGTCGTTATTCGGTGAGGGCTGCAGCTCCAGGATCCTCACTTCACGCGCCGCCAGATCTAGCGGCCGGTAGTGGATCGAGGACAAACCGTCTGACGGCGGCGCCATTAGTCAGTGCTGTCTAAGCGATCAGGATTTGTGTGGGTTCGAATGTGTGTTGGTTGGAGCCTTGTCTCTCTCATGCAGGATATCATGCAAGGAGGGGGGGCAGTGTCCAGTTGATATGATGAAAGGGTTGCAGTAAAGAAGGGAGGGGCACAGAAAGTGGGAGAAACAAGGTACTTGTTTTAATCGACATTCACCAACTGGTTTGTGCGTTTTTAGCAGCCCAACTGTGTGTGAAAAGACAACACCTGCCAAGACCCTGGAATGTGGCCCGCGAGAGGATAATGTTCCCACTCTGTACTGCCGGGTTTGGACATGTCAGGAATGAGGAAGATCACGGCAGGGATTTGCACAAGCTAACAGCCTAACAGGCAATCCACTGCCGCTGATAACATGACCTGAACCCAGATGAGTGCTTAGTATTTAACCGTCCCAAGCCCATCCCGTACGCCATTGATCGAGATCTTTCTAGTCTAGCCACATAGACTTTAGAGCCAGACCTGATGCAGAGGAGTAAAATGCTTGTCCGTAACTCTAAGATTAAAAACGCTCACTCGTGGCAATTGACATTTGCGGAGGAGGAGATTTGGGAGGCGTGCTGTGGAGGCCCGGCCCGGTTTCAATTTTTGGTCAGGACGTGGGAAATGCTAATTTAGCGCCGGTGACATGATTGTTCCTTGTCTAGTCTCAGTTTAGCGTGGGTGCTCTGGAGCTGAACGCGGAATACCAATCTGATGTCATGATGGTGTATTGTTCGTGACGAGGACTTGATGGCTTTACGCCTGAGACAACGCCTTCGATTGATCACATTTCTAGGACTCAATCCAGAAGGATCAAAGTGTTTCCAGAACTTCTAGAATGCGCCACTTCTTTACATATCTCCAACCTCAGCATCTGTGGACTCCTAATGTACGTGCTGTGTCTCACCGCCCCCCTTGACAAACAGAACTGTCCCCTTCCTAACTCGGCAAGTGTTCTCTTTCTCCGATGCGCGTATGTGACGAACCCGCATTGTTTGATACGTGAGTGGAGCTGGATCTGTTCACGTGTAGACAGGAGAATGGCTTGTTGCTTGACAGCGTGGATCTGCTAACTACCGAGTTATCCCACGTTTGGTGCTAGCGCCGGGAATCAATCACGCAAGGATTCCGTCGAACGGCTTATTTCCTATGGGATTTAATCACAAGTCACTTAAATCTGCATGTTGATTGCAACATTACAATGCAACGTGGACGAGCTGTCAAAAACACCTGATATGATACCCTCGCGATATGGGCTCGCGTCTTCGCCTTTACTATTGAGACAATGTTTCGGAGACCTGGAATACTTCTAGATTACCGGTTTGTCCGCCAGGGCTGCTCGCTGAGACATTTAACAAACCTGCATCAATACCCAGAACCCGAACTCCCTCGGTGTTGGACAATTAGCTGCAAAACCCACCACACCGTCCCGATGATCTGCAGAACAAACTTCTCGATCCAAGACATGTCCCCGGTAGTCAAGAGGGGGCAAGTGGATCGTCACCACCAGTTCAATTCGTGCATCCCTGTTTTTTTGGATCCAGACACTAACTAGTTGGTATGCCTCACCAACAAACCAGAAAGAATTGCAGAACCAACAGACATGCTGCAGGACAAAATGATAATTCTTTCAATCATGTACTGATATCCCTCGGTATTGCCAGCTGCGCTCTTTAATCCGCTGTCTCCCTGAGATCAAAATGAAGTTATAAAAGGAAGCCCGTGGACCGCCCTAGTAGGGATCCATCAACGCTCAGACTCACAAACTATCAACTCATACCTAATCTCCCCTTGTCGATCGAAATGTCTTTCCCCTCGTGTCTACCCTGGCCTAAGCAAGCCTACTGGGGCGAGTTTGACCTCAATGGGCTCAAGATAAAACCTAAAGACCGTGCCCTACACGATTCAAGTTCCACCGCCGATATCCCCCCGTACTTCTGGGGCAAGGGTTTTCGGGGCCGTGGGCTCGGGAGATTCTTCACCCGAAGGACAGCCAAGCCCAGACATGCTGGGTACACTGAAGCTAGAAGTGTGATCGGACGCGGTACTGTTGATGATCTACAGAGACTGTCGTATCATGCAAGCACGTTCGTCATCGAAGTATTTGAAGATATTGAAGATGCTTCGGATGCTTCGTCAACTAAATCCTTGTCATCGCCTGGTTCAGGATCCAGAGTAACTCAGCTAAGACTCTCACCTGAGCTAGAGGCATGGAAATCTTCCCAGCATGCGATCGGCAATGTCTTACCGCCCAAGGGCGCTGGGTTGAACCCTGTTTCCAACGAGATCCTTCATATCCTTGGCGCAGAGGATTGGCCTGAAGCTCTCAAGACGACGAACGCCTTATTTGGATGCGGTATCGCTAGTCTTCTCATGGGCGCTGCTGATTCAACTACCATGTTCTCCAACTATGTCACAGACATGGCATTCTATTACGAACACGGATACAACTATGTCTTTCCCAACCTTGAGCCGCTGTTGGAGAAGGGTCTTGATGATCCGCATGCGCTACGAACCCCCGGCGGTCGGGAGCGTCGCGATGCCGTGGCTATTGGCAAGCGATACATCCAGGGTAAGATCGCCCTTGAGAAGAAACACAAGGGCCATCTTCTGAACCGATCTGCGCGTCTTGATCGACGAACCGCTCAGATCGTTTCACTGTCTGAGAGTAGTCTTCTTGGCATGGCGGCTGAAGCTACAGCACGAGGCTTTGACCCCGGCGCTGTCATGGCCGATCTTGTGTTTAGTTCACCGGGTACCGATGTTGTTGACGTGGGATGCGACCTTGTCAACTCAGAGGTCATGAACTCGTTTCTAAATGTCACTGATATCACGGACACTGGTATTGTGAGCGAAGATGTTTTGAGGAGGGTGTATGATGCGTATGCTGTTATGGGGGCAAGGATGCTCACTCAGCGATGGCACGAGCCTGTTGCGAGGATGTGTGCTGCGTTGTATACGTGGCATATTCAGAACGATCGACATATGTTCTTCCGTCGTGCTTTGTTGGGATGGTCCAAGGCGAGGAAGACACCTGCTCAGCCTCAGAGTGAGGGTGATTTTGACGAGGTGTTTGACAAGCAATTCCGCCTTACTGGGTTCTCTCGACCGCTCGATGCTAAGTATGCATGCAACGGCCAAGACACCTGCGACCACGTCCACGACCATCTTGTGCGTCACGCCGAAGAGCCTCTCCTCAAAGAACTCTGGTGGTATCTCGTCACTGGTCCCCTCAAGTACGTGCGGGGTGGCAAGGTCGACGAGGCTCGCGAATTAGAGTTAGCGGAAGGTTCGAGGCTACGAATGGCCAAGCTTTTCGCTAAGGGCCGGGTACTGGAGATGGTTTGGTTGATTGCGCATGCGAACCATCACGCTTGGCAGGTTAACTACTTGTTTGAGGCTGCCATGTTTGGTAGCATTTTGGATGGAGGCAAATTGATTGGAAAGCTGGATAGAAAGGATCAATGATTCTGGGCCATGATACGATGATGGTTGGATGATTTACGGTCTGCGCTGCGTATCTTAGAGTTACTTGAGTTATGATATCTCTTATGTTTAGTATAGATTACGAATGAATCTTCTACGTTGTTTCACTGAGCCTTCGCTGGTAACTGTCTTTGAAATCGTCCATGTCCTGACGCTCAACTCTTATTGAGATAAATGAGTCGCTATGCAATGATAAAACGGCAAAAGAAATAAATCAGGGAGTAATGCCGAAAGACAAGACCCTTGCCCCCATCAAACAAATATCATCGTCCATCTGCCGTCTGTCAACATGTCATGTTAAACCTAAACAGCGACTAAAAATGGGCTGACACAAGTTCCGGGTCCAAGCGGACTTTCTATTCCCCCAACCAACAACGCCTCACCCAGTGTTACATCAGCTTAACCCTAAGCAGTTGCAGGGTTCGAAATGTCACTGTCACTCCCCTTGCTAGGCTGATATGCAGTCGCATCGGCGCCTGGACGCCACGTCTCGGCGTCACCCAAACGGTCAGACGTAAGCCCGCTGCTTCCGGGGTTCTTGAAACCACGTTCTTGCTGTCGTTGGTAAGAGATCTTCCGAAGACGTTCGGTCTCTGCGGGCGTTAGATGAAGCTGTGACTCCTTGTTAGATCATCATCAGGGAAAGCCTTGTGCGATCGACTTACATAGACTTCAATGCCGATGGCGTGTAGAGCAAGCGCTAGCCAAAGGCCCATGGAGAAACCTAGTGACAGAGCGGATGCAATGTTCTCGGTACCTTCGCCTGACATGTCTCCTTGAATGGCAACCCAGGCATTTAGATCCCGGCAGGTAGGGTATTTGGCGATCAAAGACTCGGTGTCGTCGTAGAAAGAAGCAACCTTGGCACATTGCATTGGGAGTCGGAAGCTCGGGTTCTTGGACATGGTCACCGCAGAGATGATCATAATAATCCGCACCGTGATAATTGAACCAGCCTGTGCGTTTCAGATGATGTAGTACACGGGTAAAGTTAATGGTAGACTTACATAGAACCACGCGCGAAGCATCCATGCACGGTGTTGCTCAAGCTGCAGTGTCTTGATGTTCCATATCGCTAGGAAGAGTGACCCAAGAAACATGATCGACAAAAGACCTACAGCAGCTCTGACCGAAAGTGAGCCACCAAACGCGACAGGCGCAATGATGATGGCGCCGAGGGTGCCGATGACTGCCAGAATAACAACGATGTATCCATTCATACGATGGAACAGCAGTGCTTTATATCGAATGAAAGGAACAAATTGAAAGACCACAAGAAACGAAGCTGGGATGATGGTGTACAGATGCATTTTGATGCCGATCTTGTAAAGGTCCTTTCTGTTGTAAGACCAGCATTCGCCTGGGCCTGCGCCATTACCCTTGCTGTTGGGATTGCAATAAATGCTATTGTAATTGAGAAACATCATTCGGGCGAGGGCAAAGCCGAACATGGCGCCGGCGAAGATGAACCATAGGACGAAGTTGTAGCCTTTGGAGAAGCCAATTGGATTGTAGACCTTGCGGGCCTTGGCGACGAAGGTGTTGGCTGGGGGGCGTGCTGGAGCAGCCATTTTATTGAGTGATTCGGATTGGTTGATTTCTGACGAAGGCAGCTTATTGCGACTGCTTTTAGAATGAAGACGTGTTCTCATGGAGAAGTATATATATTTGCGGCTTCATCGTATACGACCAGCCCTACGTCTCGGCAGTCAATATCATAGCTGTCATGCCCAATTCCTCTGGCGCACAATAAATCTACAAGTGGATAAAGCGAACGGTAATCTCTCGCATTTACTTTGCCAAGCCCGCATGCAATCCAATCAAAGCGAATGCGAAACCCGTTGTAAACGAAAATGCATCGTGGGGGTTGAGCGCTAAACTACATCGAGACTCAATCCGCGCTGGAAAAAAGTCAATGCCGTCATCAGCCACGTCTGAGCTGACCCAAGCGAAACCGAAGCATTACTCAAGAGATGAGTTTGGAGACCGAGTCCTGCGGCTTTTGATTTTGGATTCGGTCGGATGCTGCCACTTTTATGTTTATCCTGCGGATGTTAGAACGTAATCTCTAGCTGACCGCATTCAAGGAACCAATAACCGAAAATGGTCGGTGTGCCCGGTAGATCCAAGGCATGCGTTACCTGTCGGAGGCGCAAGAAAGGTGTAAGTCTACCCGTTTCTCTAACGGTCACTGCTCATAATTGGTCAGTGCGATAAGAAAGTGCCCTTTTGCGGTCAGTGTCTCGCCCTAGGTATCCCATGCGAAGGATATGAGCGTCAGCAAATATGGCTCATCAGCCAAGGATCCACGCAAAAGTCATACACTAAATCTCCTTCACCAACTCCATCCTCATCTCCACCAAGCTCAAGCTCAAGTCCAGGTTCTGTAGTGACCCTCCACGACTCTCTCACAAGGACCGCCAGAGCTCAAAAGTTCACTGGCCTGTTCTGGTCGGATTATCTGTCTGGTGGAAGTGGTTACTCTCTGAAAGCCTCAGGTATAACAAGCACCAAGTGGATGAAGCTCTACGAGGCTCTAAGTGATGTTGAGGCCAGTCTTCAATATGTCGCCATGGCTCTTAGTACAGCAACGCTTGGCGCCACCAACAACGATATCCAGCTTGTGGGCAAGAGTCAGCAGGCTTATGGATTAGCAATGCAGCAAATGGCAGTCTCATTCATATCCCCATCACGAAATAAGGATGGCATTCTCGCTGCTATTCAGCTCATGCGAGTATACGAGGTCAGATAACCCATGCATGGTGCAAATAGAGATGCTTATTGGCCAACAGCAATTATTCGGCAGCGGCATTTCTGCAGCTCAAAAGAACTCGCCTGTATCGCAGATCAAGGGCTTTAGAAAGCATATTGATGGTGAAACTGCTCTGATTCTGAGTCGCGGGCCCAATGATTCCTGGTCAGACATGGGAAAACAGCTTCTTGCAGATGGTCGTCTAACTCTGGTAAGTCTCACCTTTTGATTTGCTTCCTCGTGGGCTGAAAACTATAGATCAACGCGTATATCTCACGGCGCAAACGATCACCATACAGCCAGGGCTGGAAACAATCACAACTCTGGCGCTCAGTCACAAACTCACCCCTCAATCAACTCATTGACATCTTGGTTGAGGTACCAGCGATGTTAGAAGACCTAGACATCTTCAGAGAAACTCTAAGTATCGAACTCTACAACTCAATTCTGGCTCAATGTCATACTTGTGAGGTTGAGATATTAGCGCTGGGGTTGAAATTTGGCGAGTCGCTCACTACTTACGACTATACATATACCAGGGAACCCTTGCCGGTACCCAAGAACGATGATGATCTTGCGGTCGTTTATTTGAGCTGTTACTACTGGATGACTTGCCTATTTATATACTCAACAATGAGCTTCTGCGAACTCGAATCCATGGATCCATATACCAGAGGTTCTATACTAAGTTGTCCGAGCCAACGAATTGCAATGTCTTATGCTTACAAGATTGCTCACGCCATACACCTGCTATTTGAGCCGCCAGCAGGGACTTATAGCTCAGTGGCCGCATCCTTCATTCTTGGGACTGCTCTACGGTATCTGATCATGATAGAAACTCATGGCGGTCAGAATATCATGAGCAGGGAGAGGTTACTTTTAGTAGGCATATTTACTCGACCATTCCTTGGCAGCTTCGTTGGGAGGTTTCTCCAGAACCTACAGGTGGATGATGGTATCGACTATGGTTATCCTGCGGATATTCTTCTAGGGATGAGAGGTATCGAGTATAGGGCCAGGGTCTGGTGGTGCGGACTGATACAGGCTGGATTGCCGGAGTTTACACTAGAAGATGAATGTTGTCCGTCAAAATGACACTTTGTGTTATGTATGTTATCATCCTCAAGCTATATACAAAGGAGCCTCCAAGCCTTCATGGCAAACGAATGTGTTAACCACCATCATTCAGTGCTTAATCGCTTAGCAAATGTTCTTCTGGGCGTTACCGGTAATGCCCCAGTAAATGTTCTCAGCACAAGGCGACTCCCGAACAGTGTTGCTGTTCACCTGAGCCTTGACGTAAATACCACTTGTGTTCGGGAACTCGCTTCGCGCTGAAACGCGGACCTCGCCTCCTCCATTGACGACACCATCTCGAATAGCAAAGTTATAGCAGTTCTCAATAAGAATAGCGTTATTCCCATTGTCCGCAAGATCGATGTTCTTGATCTCAGTGGCACCGGACATGGAAACGCAGAAGATACCACGACCGCCGCCTCGTGAGTAGACTTTATCGATAAAGACGTTGGTGGTGGTGTATTGACCATTGGCGAGTTGACCGTTGTTGTTGGCGAAGCGGAGGGTTGCATACCCGGTGCCAGCTCCAGCATTGATACCCTCGACATAACCGACCTTGACGTTTCGAGACTCCTGGATGAGGAGACCGCATTCGCCAACATCCTTGGCTTTGACAGACGTGATAGTAAGACCGTCAATCTTGAAGGTTTCGACAGCATGGCTACCAGCACCGGTTACCACGATGTTACCCATAGAAACACCGTAATTCCATTCCGCATCGCGATCAAAGCGAATACCAATCCCACCACTAAGGTTCAACGTGATATCACCAAGCCCCAAGTTTCTAGTCCCCGAGAATCTCAGCCCAAAGTACGGATTACCCGTCATCTTGAGATACGGAATCTTAACATCGTTCTGGTTAATAGCCTCAATAGCACCACGACCTGATTTGTTGCCGACGTTCATGGTACCGCAGACTTCAAACGTCTTTCCGCTGGTGATGCTGATGGTGTTGGCGCCGATGCTGCCAGATGCTCGGACTGTTACGCGCTGTCCGCTGCTGATGCGGTCAAGGGCCGTTTGGATGGCGAGACGGTAGTCCGTACCGGTGTAGACGTTTGCGCCGTTGACGGTGGCGGTGAAGGTCCCGGAGCCGGAGACTACGCCTTGTGGGGAGCCATCGCCGCAGGCTGCGCTGGCGGAGGCGATGAGGGCGAGACCGGCGGTTAGGATGGAAGAGAGATGCAACATCTTGAAGAGTCTAATGATCTTGGACGGGGAATTACTATCGGAACTGATCCATCGCTGTCTTTATATATCTGAAGCATCTATAGTGGTGATCATCTATTCGTGCGCTTTTCCGCCACGATGATCCCCCAAACCCGGCGATGATAGCTTAATTCGACCAGCAGCACAAGGATACAGGGCTTGGCGCAGAGGGGTACGTGATGTTCCATGTCGATAGCGAGATGCCAATTCGGGTCACGCGGAAGTTTAACCTCCGCAGGGGATGCTGCGATGCATATTCTGGGGTATTCTCCCACCTATCACACCGGGGTAACATGAAGCTTGCCGGGAATAAAGCACATTGGCCTAGGGCTCGGCACTCGTTGTCAAGAAGTTTATCGGACATCTATTCTTTTAAGCTTGAATTGAGTTCCTAACTAGGTTAGATAGAGGAGATGGTGCATTGGCTTCGCTTGGTATTAACCCGAATATGCGAAGTGTGTGTACTATTGTACGCTAACAGCGTGATAGGTACGAAAGATAATATTAGATTATCTATTATAAAATTATTCTACCTCTTATATCTTATTTAAATCAAGCCTAATCCCCCCCGAGCACTGTATAATAGTTAGCTGAATGTACTAGGCACTTTATTGCTTTCCAGCACAAATACTGTAGAGTAGGTAAGAACTATAATATTGGACACCTAGGCTATCTTCACCAACAGAATGACCTGTCCTTAGTGGGAAGAATCACACCAGACTTTTTGACTTTTTGATTGTCCAAGCTGAGATGATTGATCCAATCAGCATTGACAAGTCAGCTTGTGACCGATTAAGCTAGGACCAGGCTGTGAATGTTTCTGTCTCAGCCACACTCCTTTTTAATTACAATTTATAATTACTTTCGGTTGCCTGGTCAATCAAACAGGCATCAACCAAAGCCATCAGCGAGAATCCTACCATTTCCAACATCCAACACAGTGTTCGGTCGTGACACAGCTCTTCGCGGTAAAACAGGAATGGCCACGTCGGGTTTGCAGCCGCTTTTGCTCGAAGGTCCTCAAACTAACACCGCTTCAAAACGTCAACGGGCCAATAGTGTCGACATCACAACAGCTTTGCAGCACGATGACTATACTGTTGGCTGGATATGCGCCCTTCCGATTGAAATGGCCGCCGCAGAAGCCATGTTGGACCACCTTCATGACGCATTGCCTCAACATGACTTCGACACAAATACCTACACTCTTGGCAGCAGCAATAGGCACAACATAGTTATCGCTTGCCTACCTAAAGGCCAATATGGAACGAATAACGCTGTTTCCGTCTCGAATCATATGGCACGGAGCTTCCCACGAATTGCTTATCGCTTCGTAGTTGGTATCGGCGGTGGGGTTCCGAGTACGTCTGATGTCCGACTAGGAGATGTTGTTGTTAGTACCGATGTTATCCAATATGACTTAGGTAAAGCAATGCCTGGCAAGCATTTCCAACGCATTGCAACCCCAGTTCGACCTCCACAGGCACTCATGACTGCCGTTTCAAAACTTCAAGCGAGTCACAGCAAAGGACAAAACAATATGATGGCTATCCTTCTTGAGAGCACCTCGCACATGCCTCACTATAAGCATCCCATGCTCCAAGATCGACTGTTCCGCAGCAAGTATACACACATCCGTTTGGCAGACAGTTGTGATAGCTGTGATCTACAACAGCTTGTTCATCGCGACTCGCGTCGCAACACTGACCCAGTGGTTCACTATGGTCGAATTGCATCAGGGAATCAGGTCATTAAAGACAGCGTGACACGAGACCAACTCTCGGAAGATCTTGGCTGTATATGCTTCGAGATGGAATCTGCTGGTGTTATGGAAACTTTCCCCTGCCTTGCTATTCGAGGCATTTGCGACTACTCTGACTCACACAAGAACAAGGAGTGGCAGAATTATGCTGCTATGGTTGCAGCGTCATATGTCAAAGAACTTTTGACGGCTATTCCTATTGCTAGCGTACGGACCCGGAAGCGGCAGAGAGTCGAAGAGTCCAATATTTCCAGCCCGAGGAACCCGGACATAGACGATTGCCTAAGAACGTTAGTTGCCACTGATGCAGCACAGGACCGCCAGGATATTCTTGACGCAAAAGGCGACATTTGTAAAGGGACTTGTGAGTGGATATTCTCAACAAAACAATTCAAGGCATGGCAACGAGAACCATCTCATCTCTTATGGATATCTGGGCCACCGGGTATGGGCAAGACCTACTTGGCCATTTTCCTTTCGAAACACTTTGAACGTATCTCCAATGAACTACCTGGAACAAAGACTGTCTTCTTTTTCTGCGATAACCAGCATGAAACCAGGAGTACTGCGGTAAACATCCTTCGAGGGTTGTTAGATCAACTGATCTCATTCCGCCGAGATCTTGTCTACACAATCATGCCGTACTGGTACCAAAGGTCTTCACAGTTATTTGAGGACAGCTCTTTTAGCATCTTGTGGAGGCTGCTTGAAGAAATGGTGGAAAGGTCGGGGCTCAATGTCCTTTACTGTGTGATCGACGCTCTGGAGGAGTGTGAAGAGAGCTCACTGATCATGCTCCTACGCAAGCTGGAGAGACATAGTAAAGGGACCACAACAGAGTCGACAAAGATCAAATTCGTTTGCTTGAGTAGGCGGTTTCCAGAGCGCATTGGGGAGCATTTTTTGGATTGTATTCAAATCGATTTGGTGACCACGAGGTCAAGAAAGCAAGACATCAACTGTTTCATATCCCATCGTGTTCGTGATCTCGCCCGAAAGAAGAACTTCAGTAATGAGTTACAGAGAAGGGTGGAACAAATCTTCCAACAGAGGTCCGAGGAAACATTTCTCTGGGTCAGTTTTATGACAATGGATCTGGAACAAAAGCGTCTTATGGACATTGAGGCCTCACTTGAAATGCTTCCCAGTGGGCTCGATGCCGTTTACGATAAGATTATATCCCGGATTGACCAGAGTCATTTGGATAGTGTCGTCAGACTGCTTAATTGGGTCCTCATTGCTACCCGACCCCTCAGGATACCCGAGCTCTGCGAAATACTTGACGTAACGCCTACGCCTCTACTCTCGCGCGAGATCGTTTGTCTCGAATTGATCAAATTGTGTGGACATTTACTTCGAGTGTCTTTGAACAGAACTGGATCCGACTTTCCATTTCGAGACAAGCAGTCACGTCTTAGGACTGAATCCAGATTTGGGCTTCTGTCTCCAACTGGTTTTCGATCAAGGCCTTTGAACGACCAAGCTTCGGGCCTTGAAGTGCTTGCTGCTGAAGGTGGATCCAAAATGCCTCATTTTGGTTTTCGAGAGCCGATATGCAGTGAAAGAACAACCGGCAACACCCTAGATGATGATGATATCGACTATTGGTCACTCGAAGTGACCTTCCTTCACCAAAGCGCAAAAGACTATCTTACCAAACGGAAGATGTTATCTCCTCTAAGGACGTATGACTTTTGTATCCCAGGTCTAAATCAGCTTGCGACAAGCCTGCTCACTCGGTACATCGAAAACGTCAGCTGTTACTCGGCCAATCGTAACACTGAACAGACCAAGGTTCTTCAGATAATGGAGAGGCTTCCTCTAGCTTCCTACGCTATCGAAAATTGGCACCACCATGCAAGGGAATGCAATGATATTTCACCGGTTATTCGGCAAGATTCAGGGTTTTTCAATGAAGTCTCAGAATCTCGAGCGCTATGGCAGCGATTATGCACCAGTGTGGCATGGCGATTTCAAGGCTCGTCGACAATCCCTCTACTCCATCTATCTTGCATCATTGGACTCGAAAGCCTAGCTGTTTGGTGCGTGGAAAGACATCAAACCTTTAGGCTTGACATGAGGTGGGGCGGTCAAGGAAAGACACCACTTCATGAAGCCTGCAAGTTCAAGCATGAAGCCATTGCCAATATCCTGCTTAATGCTGGCGCTGATGCACTTATTATGGACAAACACAACTGCACTTCTATCCACTATGCTGTCCAAAAATGTAGCCGAGAACTTTTGAGCCGCATGGCTCTACAGAAACCTTGTGCAAAGTGGTTGAGACAACAGGCAGATGACTCCGATAGTTGTTTGTTATCCGACGCTGCGGGATACGGGAATGAGGGTACATGCCGCTTTTTACTCGAAGAATTTGCATGGGACGTGAACAGAAAAGAGCCAAGGTTGTCTCTTGACGATACGCCAGTCATGTCTGCCTTGGTGAATGGACATTTCAAGCTCGCTCGCATATTAATCTCCGATTGGCAAGCACATTTCGAAGATTGGAGAGCTTTGAATGGCACTGTCAAGGCATTCTCTCGTGGCACGACTGAGAAAATGATTCGATTTCTGATCAGCGACTGTTTCGTTGATATCAATGCAACAGACCCAGCGGGTCACAGTATCCTGTGCTCTTTGTTCCGGAATTATAGTCTCTGGTACTATCCAGATGGTTTTTATTCCATACTAGAAACTATACTAGACCTCGGCTGCTGCATAAGCGAGCCTGACAACAGAGGGAGGACAGCTCTGCATTGTTCTGCAATGGAATTGGACTACTCCCTTTCACCAATCTTTATCAATACGACCAAGTACTTACTGCACCGAGGTCGGCTTGATATCAATCACGCTTGTATAGATGGGAAAACCATTTTGCATCACTTTATAGAGACACTCTCGTCATGCGATCCTTACCTGGTGGAAGAAAATTTCGTCTTTTCATCAAGCTCAGTCAAGGGCCTATTGGATATGGGTGTCGATCGGGAGCTCAAAAACCATGACGGACATTCTGCACTAACACTATTACAGCTAGCACTTGATCGGAAGGATTACGAATGTCATGGTGACTACAAGCAAATTGTCGACGCAGTATTCACCATCCTTGTATGTTATAGTACTGTTCCCGTTCATACAAATATGTTAGACGGAAGCTTTGTGAATTAGGCTTTGTAACAATTAGGCGCAATAGTTCACTTAGAACCTCATGCCAATTGCAATATCAGGAACAGGATAGGATTTCTTCTAAAATTTGACCTTAAACACCAGTTTCTCAGCACTGATTCGGCGCATGTACTCTTCTGGCCGCTCAATCTTTGACCTCTCACTAACCAAGCCCGTACCAAGAAGGCGAAAACCGTCTTGTGTTACTTTCTCAAGACCTCCGGGCATTAGTCTCACAGGATTGGGCTCGAGCTGCGCCCTGCCGGATGCAAGTGGCTCACTCAAGAAGTTATAAAACTCCTTTGCAAATGCATGCGCATCTGGATTTGCTGGAATAACAGCGTCTGTTTTAGATAGTGAGCTTATGGTGAAACTTGTGAGCGATGTTAAAGAAAGTGCTGATTTGCTTACCGTTATATCCAACCTCAACACCGAGGCCTTCCCAGACAGCACCATAGGCAGGTTTGACAGTTAGTAGTGCTGGATCATACTGTCCACCAACCGGGCCGCGAATGACGGCGAACTTTGCCGAAGGAGCCAAAGTTTCGTGGGTGTTGTATACTGTCTGACCTTCCGAGATACAGTCCAGTGCAAGATCGATGCCATTTCTGTCCGTAGCATCCTTTACCTTTTGAACCCAGCCTTCATCTCTATAGTCTACAAGTATGTCATAGCTGTAAGGTTCGTTCCGAAGCATCTCATGCTTAGATGAACTAGCTGCGCCTATCAGGCGTAGAGACATGCCAGATGCCTTGGCTGCGATATGGGCAAGCTGTGCAGCATATAGTCCGACTGAAGTCGATGATCCATAGATGAAGAGGTTGGTGATTCTGGTATTGTTGCCGGGCGTCGCTTGTGGCGTCAAGGAAAATGGGGATGGCAAGCCAAGGCGACTAAATAGAGCTTGAGCAGCCGTCAAGCCGCACATGCTGATCGTCGAAGCCTCTTCGAAGGTCAGATTGTCCGGGATCTTCCATACGAGATCATAAGGGACAACTACAAATTCTGCAAAGGCCCCAGGGCGATCATTCACGGACGAAGCTAAATCTGTCAGCTTTATATCAAGAAGTCAAGGATGAAGTACACACCTCCTTGGAGAAAACCAGCGACTCGAGTCCCGACTTTTACTCTGTGATCAGATAAATCACTGATCTCGGATCCAGCCTCAACAATAACTCCGGCAAAGTCAGTGCCGATGACTCTTTTCTCTTGAGCTGCAATGGGCGACGAAACGTAGAGTTCATCTACCGGGTTCAGGGCTATTGCGCGCACGTTCACTAGAATCTCATGAGAGCTTGGAGTTGGGCGACTGACATCCTCCACGATTGCCTTTTTTAGGGATGTATTTAGAACAAGAGCTTTCATTTTGGCTGGATGGGGACCTGACTCTCATTCATCGTTGATTTTAGACATGATGACGCCTTTATACGATATGGTTACTTAGACTTAGATGGCTTTCAAATCATGGATTTGTAAGCTGATTATCAATATTGAGAACCAGGTTTTTGGCGTTGGTTCTCTGTCCTTGCAAACGCTGTTTAAAGATGGGACATTAAAAGAACAGATTCTTTCAGATTTATGACTTATTTTCTTCGTAAATCTTGCCATTTTTACTGTACGCAAATGAGCGCCATTAGTAGAATTCGGCGTTATTTGCTGTTGAGGCTTGTGGCTGTAAGCTTAAATCAGTAGACAGAACTTAGTAGAATTCGGGACAAACCGTGAGTGCGTGTTTGAATAGCAATGTGAAAGTGCAGAGAATAAACATAAGTCTGTACGAATCTTATATTCTCAATTTTCGGTTTTCGCTGCTAATACACCAAGTAACCACTCTGGCACTCCCAATCCCTAGGAGAGTGTCTAACTTGCTCTAGCGTCTAGCCCCACTCGTCAAAATACCACACCGCTTCCAGCCATCTCTTTCTCACGGCTCCATCATATCAAGATCGCCTTCTAGTACATCGCTTATAAGCCCCAAAATGACCAGTCTGGCCTACCTACCACGAGATGTACTCGTCGAAATCTTGTCCTACTTTTGTCTGCATTGTCGAGGCGACCTAAGACCTGCCAAGGGTCTCGGAACCCCGCACCAGCAAAAACGGTGGCGTGAACCCCAGCAATCCGACCAAAAGTCATGGTATTCAATCGATAAATACACCTTGTTTTCTCTTGCAGCCTCTTGCAAATCACTGCATGCTGTTGCAGAGGATATTTTGTATCATGACTTCGCACCTGGTTATGGCGACTCCGAGCTGTCTGAGCTTTATACCTATGGTCACAGATTGAACCAATTCATGCGAACCGTTGGAACGCGCAAAGACCTCGCTGAGAAGGTCCGCATGGTCTTCGTTCATCCACAACACTCCAACGCGGATGTGGAACAGACCGTACTTTCTTTGAAACAGGGCGCCGCTGATCTGGGCATCGATATTGCGAAAGGTTGGCGGCACCGTGCAGAAGACGTCCTGAATAATTATAATTCTGCTCCAAGGGGGTCAGAACGGCCAGAGCAATTGGACTATATATTCATGCTCAACTCAGCCTTTACCGATGAAATCTTCGACTATCTAGCACGAAAGCATACCGTTATGACCGACGAGTTTTACAGGGCTTTGCACCATGAGCTTATCCCAATGCTGATTGCACTACTCCCCAAGCTGGATCACATCATTTACAAGGACAAAACCAGATTTTCGATGTTCGATCATTCCGCTTTCGAAGCTCTAGGAGTGACAGAGTTCCCGGATCTTCGTACACTGGAGATAGATTATGATGCATTCTCCATTCTAGAAAGAGCACCGCATTTGACACAAGTTGATTTTCTCAGCCCTCCATTTTCCAGTTTGTCTGAGACGGTCGGAGACTCATTCGGCGACCAATCCAAGATCAAGACCCTGCGATTGCAAGACATATATGGCTCCGTTAGGCTCAACATGTCGCTCTCCTACGCAGCCAAGGACCTTCGATCGCTGGTTATCGAATCTTATAGAAAGCGAGTACATAAACTCGATCTATTCACTTGGCCCAACTTCTCTGCAGAAACTATTGAAAAGGTGCGCAATTACCGGCATAGTTTGGAGATATTACACCTGGACCTCCGAGGCAACTTTGATGAAGGGTTTAACTCCTACCGTCCCGACTCTACATTTCAAGACTTTGAAAGGCTTCAACATATCCTTTTGAGCACGCAGCTCATCTTTGACATTTCACGCCAGCTCAAAGTGGAAGACCGATATGCAATTACTCGACTGTTGCCGCCGTCGATAGTATCGTTGCACTTGGTCTGGGGCGGTACGAAGCTTAACCGGTCCGCACGTTATAGGCCGGAGTCAACTATAGTGAACCGCTTCAAACAGGGATTGCTGGGGCTTGCTGCAGCAGCGACCAGCGACTTTCAAAATCTGAGGTTTGTTGGTATTGACTACACTAAGGGGGTAGACGCAACTGTCGAGGAGGCCATACGTAGGGCGGGAATTGAATTTGCGTACGAGAGTTGGCCAGTGCCTTATACCATTGAGCCAGATGAGCCAGATGATGTATAGGCGGTTTACAGGCTGATGAAGCTACATTCAACCCTATCATTATGGATACAGGGATAAAGGAGTCATTAGTAGCAGTATCGCAACTGTATCCCAGAGGTTTCTTTGTAGCCAACTACTTGTATTCAATTCCAAGGAAAGTCATTCCAGGCACAACAGGTTGCGGAGTCGAAAAATAACACAAGTAGCTTCACGGCAGCAACACAATCTTGTTTTTGTCGACCTGCTTTCAGTGTTATCTCCTTTCCCTTCCAGCGAGTAGGGAAATCATTACACGGCCTTCTCGAAAGGGCCGCGATTGGATATAATTCTTCAACGTCCACAAGAACGCGATTAACCTCGACCGACCTGAGACCTGCAGAAGTACATAAAGTAAGCTGTTAAAACCTTCGAAGATATCAATTAGTTCTTGGCTAAGATCCGGGGTAATAAGATGTGGAAGACTGATGACGTGTGATTATCTCGATCACAGGGTTGGATAAGTGCGGCTGTATCCAAGCTGTTGTGGCACCTATTAGCCATTGTATTAAACCTAAAGTGTATTTTCTAACCTTATAACTGACTTATAAACTTAACTCTACTACTACCTTTTAATTACTTTAAACCTTTTTTTTAACCTTTTTCTT